GAAAAGCGCTATATCAAATGCAAGGATTATTATTATTATTATTATTATATTCTGTGAAGCGCTTTACATGTCTCAATGCTGTGATAAGGATCTATATCAATATCAAATGCAAGGAATGTTATTATTATTATTTCATTTAATGCTCTGAACATCTTCCACTAGTATAAATATTAGATGAACTAACCTGTAAATTCAAGTTTGTGTCTCCTTGTGTTTTTGAATATAAGGTTTGCTATCCATCTGGTGCTATTCCCAGTATATGAGTAACTCCTAAAAATATCAACCAGAGCATCACTAATTTCTCCTTCAATTCCTTAAGAATCTAGGATGAATTCCATCTGGACAAGGTGCCTTGTGGACACTTAATCAATCACATTTCTGCTTAACATATGCTTTACTAATTTCCACACTTGTTATGGATTCTTTAAGTACATTAATGTCCAGTTTACACCACTGGAAGTGATTTGTTATCCCTTCCAGCAATAGAGCATTAAGGAGAGAGAACCCTGATTTACAATTCCCACTCTTAAGTCACATTTGGTCAAGGGGATGGGGAGAGTTCTAGGCAATGCACAGAGATCCACTAACTAACTGCAAACACCAGTTTGATTTTTAATCTTATTAAAAAGAGCTGGTCATACACAAGGCTCTTTATTAACATTGACATCTCGCCTCGCAAGCGAGGGCCCTGGGTTCGATTCCCGGCAGGGCGAAACCTTGGGCAAGTTTCCTTACTCCGCAAGCCTGATAATAATACCTCAAGGAAATAAATAAAATAACAATTTGGTCACTCAATCCATGAGTGTTTGTGGGATACTGCTGTGCACAATTTGCTGCCGTGTTTCACCTACAAATATACATTCAATTAACTTTACAGTATATTCTGTGAAGTGCTTTGAGACATCTAGAAGATGGGAAAGCGTTATTATATCAATGCAAAGATTATTATTATTTATGATTATTAAAATTTACCCTTTAAATGTTCATATTGTGTAATCCATTGGACTGGCTAAGTATTTTTTAAGGGATCATTTTGCGAGGAGGCTGAATTGATTCATACTACCTTTATCCTGCAGTGAAGGGAATAAATTTCCTGGCAAAGCTAGCTTCTCAAAGTGTGTTCAGCATAGAGCACCAGTGGGCTTTGGTTCATGATACATTACCTCATACCCGATTTACACTGTTGTTCATATCAATTCAATGCCATTTTCTTGCTGAATCAAGACAATACGCAGTATGAACTAAACATGACTATCTGAGATCTGCATGCAGTATATGAGAGGAAAAAATCCAATGGCTATATCTGCCTTGCCTTACTATCTATAACAGTTATGCCTAATTATCCTCTAATGATGGAACCACCTGTTTCTTATGCCTTACATAGCCAAGCACATTCTTGGATTCGTTCTTACTACTAACTACAAATTATTTCTCTTAAACGTTTAGTAATTTGTTTCGCTAACCTCAGCCTTTTGCATGAACCTCAATCCTCATTACTCTTCCTCTCTTCACTTCCAAAATACGTCTGCGTTTTTATATTATTTTTGGCCTCCTTATATACCCTCTTAGTCTCTATCTGTTTGCTGAATGGAATATATTTTATCATGCCTTAAAATAGTATTTTTGATTCTATCTTTTGTTATCGCTTCCCAGTTTGTGTTGTAAAGCCTCTCTTTATTATCACGTCTTTAAACTATTCTCTTTTATGGTCTTACAGCTCCAATTTACTTTTGTAGGTTCGAGGCTGAACAACACTTTCAAATATAATTCTGCAATAATAAATGAAACACTGGTAGGTTAGGGGATATTCTATTATAAATTAGGATGTCAAGGATGCTAAGTACACTTTCTGCTCTTGTAGAATGTTGTGTCAGGAAGCAATATCTAATTTCCTTAATGAATAATGTCTTTTGTAATATTAAGCCTCTCTGGGTTTAAACACTTAAACACTTAACCTCTTGGAACTTGAAGACACATGGTTAGCAAAATATTTTGCTCTACTTCTCTCTTTATCGTCCTTGAACAGTTGTGCACCTTGTGCTGGACCTCAATAGTAGTTGCCAACAACTATTTGTTGCTCTTGTCTCGTTCCACACTGCTTCTACAATTATATTTTCTAAAGCACTTTGAGACATTTATTTTGTGTGAAAGTCACTATATAAGTGCAAGTTGTTATTATTTATTATGATCTGGATCAGTATATTTGACCCTTTTATCCTGACTGGTGTCTACCCTTTCTTCAATACTTACAACCTTTGTCCTGAGCATTCAACAACAACAACAAAATCACATTTGTACAGCGCCTTTCACGTTGGGAGGACGTCCCAAGGCGCTGGACAGACAGAGTTACGGATCCGAGCTGAGGGTCGGGGTGGGGGAGGGCAGGTGGGGAAGCAGGAAGATTGAAAGCACAGTCGAAGAGGAGGGTCTTGAGGTGGGTCTTGATGGTGGTGAGTGAGAGGGCAAGATGGAGGGACTGCGGGATGGAGTTCCAGAGTGGCAGAAGGCCCACCCGCCGATAGTGGGACGAGCAATGCGGGGGACGTGAAGCAGCTGGAGCCCGCTGAGCGGAGGGAGCGAACAGGTTGGTAGGGGTTAGGAGGTCGGAGAGGTAGGGAGGAGCAAAACCGTGGAGGGCTTTGAGGGTGAGGACCAAGATCTTGAACTGTATCCTCTGTGTGATGGGAAGCCAGTGAGGTTGGGCAAGGATGGGGAGTTCTGGATGATCTGCAGCCTGTGGAGGGAGGAGTTGGAGAGGCCGACAGGCAGTGAGTCTGTATAGTTGAGCCTTGATGTATGAAAGCGTGTATGAGGGTTTCGGCAGCCTGCATTGATTCAAGATTGAAGAGGATGGAATTTCCATTACAGCATAACAACAACAACAAGATTACATTTGTATAGCCGCCTTTCACGTCGGGAGGACGTCCCAAGGCGCAGACATAACAATGTTCAAGAAAAGTAAAGAGCATTCCAGACTGGAAATCAAAGGGTTTTTTAAGTAAATTGTTTAAATCTAATCTCAGTTTCAGAAGAAACTTACTACATGAAGCTGTTTGTAAGATACAGTGCAGCCTCAGACTATAACACGATCTAGGTGTCAGCCTGGCTCAGTTGGTAATATTCTTGCCTCAGAGTCAGAACATTGTCAATTCGAGCCCCATTTAGGAACTTTGAACTTCTCTAGGCTGAGGCTTCAATACATTGCTGCGGAAAAGCTGCATTGTTGGAGGTGCTGTCCAAATGAAACATTAAGCTGAGGTCCTATTTGCCTGTTTAGCTGAATATTAAGGATCCCATGGCACCACTTGAAAAGTCAATGGAGTTTTCCTAGTATCCTGGGCAACATCCCTCCAATAAAATTGGTTATTCATTTCATGGCTCTTTGTCAGTATTGCTGTGCGCCAATTGGCTACAGGAGAGTTAGATCATTCCTTTGGATGAGGCAGCATCTGTAATAATAATAATCCTTGTATTTGAAGCGCCTTTTCACGTCATTGAGACCTCTCAAAGCACTTCACAGAATATATTGTAAAGTGGATTGCATGTATTTTGTGGCGAAACTCAGCAGCCAATTGCGCACAGGAGTGTCCCACAAACAGTTGTGGATTGAGTGACCACATTTTTTTTGGAGGCATTATTACCCTCGGAAAACAATCCGCCAATCAACTAACAACCAGGTACCTACTTACTGCTAAGTAAGCACACACAATGGACTGAATGGTGTACATGTGTGATTTAAATTATCTGCTTTAAAAGCCCTCGAATATTTATTTCCTCCAGGCAACTCTAGCCTATGACTTCACAGCCAACTGCCCATCTTGTTTTCATTTGTAAACAAACACCCACTGTGATGACTTAAAATAAATCATGTTGAAACAAATCACTTGCAGATATCTTCCTGATGGAAGTGACACTTGGCTCCCATGGGTATCCTCTCCCAAACAAACACAGACTCAGTATTTTTCAAGAACTTTGTTTTAATGAAGCCAATTGTAATATTCCTTGCAGTTATTATAGCGCATCAGCACTTTGCCTTGTTTTTCTGTAAATGTTCAGTAAAACTCACATAAGTCTGATTGACTGCCACATTTCGCCCACAATATATATGGTGAATTCACTTTACAGTATATCCTGTGAAGCGTTTTGAACAGTCTGGAAGACGTGATAAGGCTCCATATCAAATGCAGGATTATTATTAGTAGTAAATATACTATATACTATATATCTGTATAAATTGTATAAATACCTAAATTGTACATTTGTCCAAGTCCCGTTCAACAGTTTATATTCTGCGCAAGCTTGACATAACTCATACTTTGCAGAAGTCGTAATAAGTGTATGATCCCAACTGATGCTACTTATGGGGTTTACTTGCAGTCCATCTGAAGGCGATGTGTGAGCTGGTTTTAAAGTCACCTAAAACAAGACATGTGCCAATGCACCAAATTATTTTTGTTTACTTGCGGATGCTGTTTAAGCAGATTTTGCTCAGTTATATCAGGATCCAAGTCTCACAGAAATCTCTGTGCACACAAGTATTTGTGTGGATCGTTCCCCTCTGTCCCTCGTTTTGACCCTTAGCCTCACAGGGGCAGCTTAACAGTGTGTTTGATGAACTGCCTTCAACGCTGTAACATGTTAAAATGCATCAGCCCTAATGCAAAACAGTTGCAAAGTAAAGTCTGACTGGTAATAAACGATTGCTCCAAGAGCACAAGGAGTCAGCGGTTTGGGGAAATTCCAGCGCATGAGGAGTAACTTTCTGCCGTCACACCTTCGCAGTATGAGGCGAGTGTGTGAGGGACATAAAAGGAAAGTCAATGAGAACCTCCAGTCACTTGTACCGCACAGGGAGGAACATCAGTAACTGCATCTCAGTGTGTGTCAGTGCTCGCTTTAACCTCCTCTCCAGCTCTCCTCCTCACACCTACCCTCGGATCTCAGATTGCAACTGTTTTAGAACCTATATTTTCGAATATATAGATATATATATATATCTATATATTCAATTCCAGAAGACATGAAGTGGAAAGTTGCTATATTTCTTTTCCGACTTCTCATTGAGGCAACTCCAAGTGTTTCAAACGATTCTCAACTTCAAGGTAAAATTTCTGCTGCTCCAGTGAGGCGCTGGGACAGCAGAAATCATTTTATTTGTTTCAAATTGTTTTGCCTTCTTCTTTCTTGCATTTAATGCATTAAAAGTGTGTTACTTAAATACATTGCTTTATGTTGCTGTAACTTCATTTGCATTAAATGTCTTAAAGTAACACTCTTTAATGCAGATGTAGTTTGCATGACAAATGGCAGCAATGTAAACATGCGTTAAAGAAACACATTCTTACTTAATACGTTATGTTAAAAATGTCACATTTAAATTAAATAATTCGAGTTTCAACCTCTCGCCATCTGAAGAAGTGAACTGATCAAAAAGATCCATTAACTCACACATAAAGTGTGATTAAATGACAAGTCAACTTCGCAGAATCATTGCATTGAATTCGTTTTCATCTGCGAAACATAAATCTTTCTTTCCAAACTGAAATAAACGCCTTGCACATTTAATGTAAAACAAAACGGAGAACTAGCTGAATTCCCACCTTTGCAAAAACGTTTTTAAATTTTAAACTTACCATTAAAATGTAGTCTTGCAGCATCAGTCTGTATTGCCTTGTGTTTCTGGTCAGATTTACTGTGATTAACGTGTGTTAAATGCAACATATTAATTTGATTTCTTATTGCCTATCAAAAGGTGTGTAAAAGTAGTGCTGTACCTTGGTCCATCGTGGGATGGATTCATTATATATTTTGCATCAGAGCCCTCTGAACTAGAGGCCATATACTGTAGTTTAAAATGAACCAACCTGTTTGGTGCAAGTCAGATTTGTGTGCTGAGGATGTTCTGTGACACTCCATATAACCAACCTCGCGACAGACAAACTATTAGACTTGTCCTATTATAAGAAACGTTAAATTGGCCGAATTATGTTGTGAGTGTTTGTTTATGTAGGAGAACTATCATGTAGTAAGTGTCTTGTTTTTAGTAACAAATTCATTTTGATGTCAATATGCATTTTATTGTTGTTTGCATATTGATGTAAACATGTTAAACATCTCATAATGAAACAGCTCATAACTAGATTGAATGCCTATTAGAACTCAGTATGGAGAATGGATGGTATATGTTTTCCATCTAATTGATTTGCCAACTGGTTACAATGCAAGGCTACTTTTTTAGGCATTTACTTCCAACAGTGTCTTACAGCACACAACGAGAACAAAATCGAAATGTTGGGGTCCTGGTAATAAAGTCAGGAAATATATTTTTGTTTCTCTTCATCAAATCCGCAAATTAGATATTGCATTGTGGTTACCCATAATTGGCCATGATTAGTTTAATATAGTAGTTTAATATAGCCTGATATATGATATAGTACTGTATTCAAATGTATTTCTTACAATAGTTTCTCGACAAACTTTTCAAAATGTTATGTTGTTCAAATTTAAAATGGCTTTTAAACAATGTCATTCGTTTTAAGTTTACAGGGACAGTCATGTCTTCTGGCAAGCAATAGTTCACATCTTCTGGCTTCAATGATTTCATTCTTGTAGGTTTTCATTCTTGGCTGCACTTTCTCCTTTGATCTCAAATGGCATTCCCACATTGCTTCCTAAAGTAGTCTTCAAGAACCTTGGTTTCCTCTTTCATTCCAAACAATTTTTTTTTCCCCCAGCAACTCGTAATTCTCTAAAAGTCTGTGTTTGTACAGGCGTTCGTCCCCTTTCTTTGTTGCAACCTTTTCTTTGTTGTTCAAATTCTACTTTGATCATTGGTCCTTCAGACTTTCCCGTCTTCTTTCTCTCAATCTTCAAATATGTTGTCTTGCACACTTTTCATCTCCTTTCCCCATTTCATTACTCCCTGTATCGGGTTGGTTCAGTTGCTAGCATTCTTGGCTTTAAGTCAGAAGGTTTTGGGTTCTAATCCTGTACCTCGGCATTATCATTTAGGTCATAATTATTTTTTGTCCCAAAATGTATTGCTTCAAATTCTCAATACTAAACATCAGGAGGATGTCCCAGGCCCTGAACAGTCCAGGATTTGCGCCAAAGATGGGATTGGGAGGGGGGTAGGGCAGAGGAAGGAAAGGTGTCTGAAAGTGCAGTCAAAGAGCAAGATCTTGAGGTGAACCTTGGAGGAGGCGAGTGAAGGGATGAGTCGAAGAGACTCCAGGATGGAGTTCCAGAGAGTGGGGGCAGACATACTGAAAGCCTAATTGCCAATGGTGTTATGGGGATCATACCCATTGAGTGGAGAGACCGATCAGATTGATAGGGGTTGAGTAGGTCGCAGAGGTAAGGTGGGGTGATAAATACCTGTCTTTGTTCATTGAAAGTTAATTGGTAAAAAAATGTTTTTACCTGAATTGAAATGCTAAAATTCAAATTAACAATTTTTTTTAAGTCCGTGAAATTGTCCCAGTTTCAGGGGTTCTTGTATTCTACAATAAATTCTGATTTACACCAAATTTCCCCATTATTTGTGTTAAAATCATTACCTCTCATTTTCTCCCAATTTCTGACGGAAAATAGACCCTTGTGAATAAAATACAATTGACAATTGTAATCATTCTTACAGCTAAATGTTTCTCTTCAACTTGGACTAGGACGAGAATGCTGGGATTTGCTTGCTACTGTGCAGGAACAGCCAATATAGTCTGTATTGTTTTGTATTGTTTGTGTAGGAAGCAGCTTGACGGGTCTTTTTCATTCTATGCATTTTATGTTCTTATGTAAGATTAAATATAAATTTGCCAATTTTCTTTCAGTCACTAACAAATGCATGGATTATTATTATGGAGCGAATGGTCTGCAGCACCCTACCTTAACCTCTGTTTTGCCCCTTCTTTGCCCATCCCCATATCACACCTGAAGACTTTCTCCTTCTGTCACCTCTCTCTTTCTAGCTTGGGTTCAAACCCACACGCCTGTTAAGTGCTCCAAGACACCACTTGCATGAAACGCACTATATAAATGCAAGTTGTTGTTGTAATAGATAATTTTGTAATGTAATGGATTTTTAATGTAATTTTTTTATTCTTTTTCAGTTCTAAATCTCCTATCTACAACAGAACACAGAGCCTATGTAGATCTGCTGCAACAAGCTCTCACTAATACACCAGCAGTAAATGAGGTCTTTATTTTAACAACATTTAAATTACAACCCAAAATTCTTACCACGATCTTCGGACTTTATTCTACCAGGGGCAATGTTAAATACTTTGAATTTTCAGTATTGGGTCGAATGAATAGAGGTAAGATTGTATTTTTATTCAACCTGTTGGATGCTTAACTGGTCCCAAAATTTCACCTAGTCTTAGCCATCAAGGCAGTTTTTATCTTAAAATTTAAGATGAAACAGAATTGTGTAAAAAAAAATTAAACTCAGTTTTAATTTGGAATCCATTTTCTTTAAGAACTGTCCTAAATTGGCTGAATTGTTTCCAAATTTATTTTGAATTTTCCACAATTTTCACCATCATGAATTTTAAGGCAAAATAGTCTTAAAGGTTCACCTACAAAAAACAGTCAATTGCACTTCACTGTGAAGTGCTTTAACTGACGTTAAAGGGTTATATCTAATGCAAAATGCAACAATTATCAACACTGAGTGGAATTTTGGGGCTAACATTTTTGTATACTAAAAAAGTGTTTATTGCATTTTTTGTCATTTATTTTAAAGTAGTGCAAGTAGTTCATCTCAATAGATCCCTCTCCAGCTGAGAGGGTTGACCAGTCTGGGTGTGGACTTCTCCACAGCCACAGTCAGTTAAAGGGTGTCCTGCAAACAGAATTTAAGTAGTGTGAACTGGATACTCTTGCTTTTCCTCCATTTCCCTGAGGTGCAATGTCTCAATGTTGCATGTGCTTCATCTGGCAGGTGAATAAGAACCCATGAAATCCAACCAATTTAGGGAAGCAATCCAAGTCCAGAATTTTTGTTGGACCACAGAATTTTAGAGAACTATTCTATTCACTCCTACTGCCTAGACACTTCTAGGTAAAGAAGTTACACATTTGTTACTAATTTTGACAGGTTTTGAATGTGTCGTTATTAATAGTTGAATGTATTCTCAACAATTTTTAAGCAATAAATCTTCTGACAGTATAACAATCGATTGATTTGTTAGCTCTGAACAGTTAGCTCTGAACAGTTAGCTCTGAACATGCAGATGTCAACTTGGCTCAGTGGGTAGCACTCTTGCCACTGAGTCAGAAGGTTGTGGTTTCAAGCCCTATTTTGGGACTTTGAGATTTCTAATGTAGGCTAACTCTCCAATGCAGTACCAGGGGTGGACAGCATAGTCAGAGGTGTTGTCCTTCAGATGAAATGTTAAAGAGAGGTCCCATTTGCCTGTTCAGGGTATGTTAAAAATCCCAAGAAACTATTCGAAAAGAGAAGTGATTTTATCTGATGTCAATTCGACAATCCCAAAGATAAAATTAATCACTGGTGTGTGCAAATTGGCTGCCATGTTTGCCTGCGGACAGTCACTACACTTTACAATAAATCTTGTGAGACATTTTGAAATGTTTCGACATTGTAGTAAAGTGCTAAGTCAAATACAAGGATTCTTATTATATAGCCTGCATCACATAAATTCACGTGTTTGATTAAAAAATGGCACATTCATTTTAGTTTACTGTCCTGTCACTTGTGTGAAACAATGATTCTCATTTTGGTACATAAAGTACTATATAACTTGAAGCACTCTGAGACGCTACCCCTCGTGAAGGGCGCAATATAATGCAAGTTGTTGTTATTGTATTAATTACACCAATCATTATCAGAGCAAATGTTAATTTATTAACTCTTCATCTGAGCAGGCCATACAATATTATTCATTTACATATGAATACAACTAAGTATCAATATTCAACCATAGTAAAGGAAGGTAGTCTATCATAACAATATAATACAATACAAAATTACATTTGTAAAGCGCCTTTCACGGCGGGAGTATGTCCCAAGATGCTGAACAGTTAGAGATTAGGACCCGAGCGGGGAGAGGGGTGTTGGGATCAGGGAGGGTGGAGGGCAGAGAGGGTAGGAGGGTGACCGAAAGCACGGTCGAAGAGGAGAGTCTTGAGGTGTGCCTTGAAGGAAGCAAGGGAGGGAGGGAGGCAAAGAGAATGTGGGATGGAGTTCCAAAGGGTGGGGGCAGAGAGGCTGAAGGCCCAACTGCCGATGGTAGGGTAGGCTGGGCGGGGGAGATAATAATAATAATAATAATAATAATATGGAGATGGAGCAGGCTGGAGCCTGCTGAACGGAGGGAGCAGACAGGTTGATAAGGAATCAGCAGATCAGAGAGGTAGGTGGGGTAAGACCATCAAGGGCCTTGAAAGTGATGACAAGGACTTTCAACTCAATCCTCTGAGGGACGGGGAGCCAGTGGAGCTGGGCGAGGGTGGGTTTGATGGGGTTATGGAGCCTGGTGCAGGAGAGGGCATGAGCTGCAGAGTTTTGGATGATCTGCAGCTTGTTGAGGGAAGAATTGGGAAGGCCGTCAAGCAGGGAGTTGGCATAATCGAGCCTGGAAGTAATGAAGGCATGTATGAGGGTATTGAAAGAATAATAATAATCCTTGCATTTGATATAGCGTTTTATCACATTTTCAAGACGTCTCAAAGTGGTTCACAGAGTAAACTGTAAAGCTATTTGACTGTATATCTTGTGGCCAAAATAGGGCAGCCAGTTGCACACAGCGGTGTCCCACAAACAGTCATGGATTGAAGTGACCAATTTATTATTATTAGTTTTTTTAATTATTATCCCCGGAAAAGTGATCCACCAATCGACTAACAACCAGATTCCTACTTACTGCTAGGTAAATCGAGGCATGTAGAGTAAAGAAACTTGCCCAGTGTTTTGCCGTGCTGGGAATTGAACCCAGATCCTCTCGCTTGTGAGGTGAGTGCTCTAATCACTAAGCTACAGGCTCCCACCTTTGCCAATCCACATATGCCAATATCATATGCCAATCTCTAAAAATAGCAATCTTTTCATTACATCTTCCTGTAGCTCAGTGGTTAGAGCATTTGACTTGCAATCGAGAGGATCTAGGTTCGATTCCTGGGCAGGGCAAAACCTTAGGCAAGTTTCCTTACTCCACACGCCTCTATTTACCTAGCAGTAAGTAGGGACCCGGTTGCTAGTCGATTGGTGGATCACTTTTCTGGGGGTAATAATTCCTTCAAAAAAATAATAATAATGAATTGGTCACTTCAATCCACGACTGTTTGTGGGACACTGCTGTGCACAATTGGTTGCTCCGTTTTGCCCACAAAATATACAGTCAAATCACTTTACAGTATATTCTGTGAAGTGCTTTGAGACGTCTCAAAGACATGTTAAGCTGCTATATCAAATTCAAGGATTATTTTTATCTTTATAATGTCACACACACCAATGCCATTATAACACCCCCAGCACTGGTAGTATCAATGTTCATTCACAAAAACACACATCATTACACTTTATAGTATATCCTGTGAAGTGCTTTGACATGTTCTTCCGATGTGAAAGGTGATATACTAAATGTAAGGATTATTATTGGTTCTCTTGGTTTCATAAGAAAATCTAATCTTTCTTCCATCCCTTCCATGACGGGACAACATGATCTGATAGGTCTGAGATTATCCATACAAATTATCATAAATTTAGCCCTTGTGTTTTGGGGTAGTGAAGGCCCTATTAGTTGTCTTTCATTCAGTTATAAAGTCTGGGCTGCTGCTTGTTAAACACTTTGCCACAATTGTGTAACATGTTGTCAAGTAGTGTAAGATTTGAATACCAGGCCCATTTAAATCAGCTTCTTATAATAGATACAACAACAACAACTTGCATTTATATAGTGCCCTTCACTTGGATAACCGTCTAAAGTGAAGAAATAGAGGTGACATTTTATTTCTTCCCATCTTTTGGAGCCATTCCTCTCCTCAGCCTCCTGTTACATATTGTTACCGAACAGTTTTACTCCTCTTCGCATTCCTCAATTGTCCTGCTCAAACTGTTCAAATTATAGCAGCCAGAACCTCAATGGAATCTCAGAGTAACAAGTTGTCAAACCTAACATTGATGCACTGGTTCCTGTGGATGTGTTAGTTACTGCTGATAGCAGGACTGGCACTAGCACGGATGCTGTTATATGAACACAGCACAATTTTTTTTATTAAGAAAGCTTGTGAGGAGCCACGGGATACCATCAAGGTTGAAAAGAATATCATAGAATTATAATAGAATTATACAGCACAGAAAGAGGCCATTCGGACCATCGTGTCTGTGGCGGCTCTTTGAAAAGTGCTATATAATTCAATCCCACTCCCCCGCTCTCACCCCATAGCCCTCATTTCCCTCCAGCCGGTATTCCTGAAAATCCAAAATGCCGTAAGTATAGGAGGTTTCCAATTTTTAGTCACAAGTGTGAACACAATTGTCCTTTGCAATTTATTATTCAATGATTCATTTAATAGAACCTAGGAGAATATCATGTACTAAAAAAAATACGATATTGGCTTTTAATTGGAAAAACAGAACCAGTGATTAAAATTAATGAAAACATTCTTTAATTTCTAATAATAACCTTTGAATTTGATATAGTGCCTTCTCCAACCTCCCCTTCCTGTCCAAGGTCCTTGAAAGAGTTGTCGCCTCCCAGCTCCGCTCTTTCCTCTCCACCCATTCATTATTCGAACCCCTTCAGTCGGGTTTCCGTGCTGCCCATAGCACAGAAACTGCCCTGGTCAAGGTCACCAATGACATCCTGACCATCTGCAACCAGGGCTCCCTCTGCCTCCTCGTTCTCCTCGACCTATCGGCAGCATTCGATACGGTCAACCACGCTATCCTCCTCCACCGCTTGTCCTCCCACCTCAACCTTCAAGGCCCTGTCCTTGAGTGGTTTAGGTCGTACCTCTCCCACCGTCTTCATTTTGTTTCCACAAACGGCTTTTCCTCCGGCCCCCGCACTGTCTCGTGCGGTATCCCTCAGGGCTCTGTCCTCGGTCCCCTCCTCTTCACCCTCTATGTGCTCCCCCTCGGTGACATCATCCGCAGACATAGGGTTAACTTCCACATGTATGCGGATGACACCCAACTCTACCTTTCCTCCTCTACCTTCAACTCTACGACTACCGATGTCCTGACAGCTGCCTGTCTGACATCGAGTCCTGGACGAGAGACAACTTTCTTCAGCTCAATGTGCGCAAAACTGAGGCCCTCCTGATTGGCTCACGTCAGCGCCTCCGCACCTCAGGCGCTGACAGCATCAGCATCCAAGGCTGCACTCTCCACCTCTCAAAGTCAGTCAGGAACCTTGGTGTTCTGTTCGACCCTGAGCTGTCTCTCCCTCATATCTGCGCCACAACTGGCACCACCTTCCATCACCTCCGAAACATCGCCAGACTACGGCACTACCTCACCCCTCACGCTGCTGAAACTCTGGTCCACGCCTTTATCACCTCAAGGCTGGACTATGGGAACTCTCTCCTCGTCGGCCTTCCCGGCACCTCCCTCCACAAGCTGCAGGTCATTCAGAACTCTGCAGCTCGTGTACTGTCCCGCACCAGGCTTCGGGACCACATCACTCCCACCCTCGCTCACCTCCACTGGCTCCCCATCCCCCAGAGGATCGAATTCAAGATCCTCATCCTCACCTACAAGGCCATTCACAGCCTTGCTCCCTCCTACCTCTCTGACCTACTATCCCCCTACCTACCTGCCCGTACCCTCCGTTCCTCTGGCTCTGGTCTGCTCCACATCCCCCGCCCCAACCGCCCTACCATCGGTGGTCGGGCCTTCAGCCTCTCAACACCTAGGCTCTGGAACTCTAGCCCCAGTGCCTTCGCCTTGCTTCCTCCCTTTCCTCTTTCAAGGCCGGTCTCAAGACTTTTCTCTTTGACCGTGCCTTCAGCTCCCCTCTCAACTCTCTACCCCCTCCTCACCCCCTCCCTTCCCTCCCCCTGACCATTTCCCCCCTGCTCGGGTCCTGATCCAACTGTACAGCGCCTTGGGACATCCTCCCGACGTGAAAGGCGCTCTATAAATGGAATCTTGTTGTTATTCTGTCATTGAAACATTTCAAAGAATTTTGAAGGATTTACTGTAAAATGTAGTGACGATATTTGTGGGCGAACGTGACAATCAATTTGCACAGAGCAACATCCCTCAAACAGCCAATGTAGTGAATGACCAACTTTATTGTTGGGATTGTTGTCACAATCCCCTTCTCCTTCTCTTTTTGAATAGTGCAACTGAAAAGGTTCAGATGGGACCTCTGTTTAACATCTCATTCAAAGGATAGCCTTTCTGACAGTGTCTCTCAAGCATTGCATTGGAGTGTCATACTCTTAGTATAGACTAACTACTCCCAACGATAGAGTTTCAATACAAAATAATTTAGATTAGATTGAAATTCCGATGTTTCGAGTAGCCCCTTTGGTGATGTATGATTGTGATGGAGCAATCCCAACAGCCCCTGACATTGGCAAAGGCATTACACCAGAATTTTAGTCCAAACATTTGTTGCCCATGGGAGATACCATTGGTTTCATTAATTATGGTTTCATTATGCCCTCTGGGATGCTACCTTGTGTGAAAGGCGCTATATTGATGCAAGTTGTTGTTATTAATTATGTTCCTTCCAGTGGAAACTTGTCATTCTCGGTCTCTTCTCAAACCATCTTAATTGATACAGTTGCTCCAATGACATATGTTATGGGTGAACTATGAAATATCATGACGTAGAATCATCAGAATTGGTGCTGTCAAACTGCAAGTTATTTCTTCATGCAAATCAAGACCTACTATGTTCCTTCTGCTATATTATTTGTATTGGGTGCTTATGTTCTTTTGAATGTTAATGTTCTTTTATTTACAGCCAGTCTTCGTTACTTAAAGAATGATGGTAGACTGCACGTGACCACCTTCAGCAATGTCCAGCTGGCTGACGGGAAGCGCCATGCCGTTCTACTACAGATAAAGGGCCTGCAGCATGGACCGATCGCAGCTGAGCTCTATGTGGACTGCACACAAGTTAGCTCTGCTCGCAATTTGCCACCGTTATTCACAAACATGCCACAGACTGCAAACTCCATTGAAATCCGAACAATCCAGAGACGAGCACAGGCACGTATACAAACTCTTATTTAATTTGAGCAGCTTTCACTTATTTGGGAGGGGGTGTGGGGTGGGTGGGTGGAGGAGGTGATCATTTTCATTTCAATACATTTTTGAACAAGCTGGTAATAATTCAAAAGGGAACATACGAACAGGATTAAGCTATCTACATTGTTGAACCAGCCTTGCTGTTTTATTAGATCAAGGCAGATATTTTAATCTAATTTCACTAATTCAGTGGTTCTCAAACAATTTTGTTGGGGTTGTGGGCTCACTGTGGCTGCACAAAATTATGTGGGTGGCGGCATTTGAAAATTGCTGCTAATTCCCCTCAGTACATTTGCCAAGTATCTATCTATTTTCCTTTTATGCATCCCAATAAATTTCACATCTGTGGTAAAGGATGTGTGAAAATGAGAATAACAGAAATGGTGTAAGTAATGTATCGCTGGTGGGTTCAGGGAACATCATAATCTACAAAAGTGAAACTCAGGCCATTTGAAGCTTGAAATAAAAATATTTTCAGTGTAATCATTTTTACCTCTCACATTTCCATAATATACATGTCAGCATTATATGAAATGTTAAATATTAACTGTGATTTTTTATTACCACCTGTGGAAGCTGTTTCCTCTTGGCATCAACAGCAGCTCCTCCCCCACTGACTGTGGCCAACATCTGGTCCATTCATTTGATACGAGATGATATTCTCAGTGAAAGATTACATTTTCTGGGATCGCTGCAGGATCATTAGAATTAACTGTGCTTTGGAGTACCATAAAATAACAGTGTAACAAAAACAGAAACTCTGGAAACAATAAGTCAATTGTCACCTGAAAACAACAGATAGGCCATTATTTGGGGCAATAGACCTTCATCAGAAGGTTGCCAATGAAAGATTATAGCCCAAATAATTCTCTGAAACATTTTTGGAAAAAGCCAATAATATGATGATGAAGATAATAATAATCTTAATCCTTGCATTTGATATAGCATTTTATCATGTCATTCCAATGTCTCAGAGAGCTTCACAGGATTTAATTGTACAACAACAACAACAACAACTTGGATTTATATAGTGCCCTCCACGCCGGACGGCGTCTCAGAGCATTTTACAGTAACGGATTACAGAGAGAGGGGGAGGAAGATGACCAAAGCTCCGGTCGAAAAGAAAGGTCTTCAGCAGAGACCTGAAAATAGGAAGGGAGGGAGTGAGACGAAAGAAATGAGGAAGGCAGTTCCAGAGCCTTGGGGCATAGCGGCTGAAGGCACGACCGCCGAGGGTGGAGCGGAGGACTCGGGGGACGAGGAGGAGGCCAGACCCAGAGGAACGAAGGCAACGGGTACTGTTTTGAGGAGAGAGGAGGTCAGAGAGGTAGGAGGGTGCAGAGGAGTGCAGGGACTTGAATAGAAGGGTGAGGATCTTGAAATCGATCCTCTCTGGGATAGGCAGCCAGTGCAGTCTGGCAAGGACTGGGGTAATTGGGGAGCAGAGTTTTGTGCAGGTGAGAATGCGGGCGGCAGAGTTTTGAATGATTTGGATTTTACGGATGGTAGTGGATGGGAGACCGGTCAGGAGGGCGTTGGAGTAGTCCACCCAAGGCATGGACCAGGGTTTCAGCGGCTTTTGGGGAGAGGTATTGGCGGATACGGGCGATGCGTTGGAGGTGGTAGAAGGCGGTGCTGGTAAAATTGTAAAATGTTGACTGTGTATTTGGAGATGAATGCCACAGCTAATTTGCCCATGGCAGTGTCCCACAAACAGCCATGAAGGGAATTACCAATTTCAACTGGAGGCTTCTTGGCCAGGACATTGGGAGAAACTTCCTTCACTTTTCAAGTAGCCCCATGAGATCTTTCATGAGATCTGTTCATCTGAACAGGCAGATGGTCCATTAGTATCAATACTATGTTCTGCCTGCCCGAAATGTTAGTCCTTTTTGTCTCAAATCTTGATTGATCTTCTGTGGATGTCCAGGATTCTGTTTGGGTTAAGATTTACAGGGTTTCCAGTTTTTCCATTTTATTTCTAATACTACTCCTGAACATATTAGAACATAAAAACATAAGAATTTGTTAGGCGAAAGAAGACCAAGATCCATCTAGTTCACCTTCCACCATCCTGGCAGTAACTTCACATGTCGTGTCCCAAACTACATAACTCACACGGGGGGCGGCGGCAGGACAGCGCGGGGAGGAGCCTGGGCCTACCTACCCAGGTACTTAAGCTCGACGAGGCAGGGAGTGCAGCTAGGGGGTGTGGGGCTGAGAGGGAACAGGTGGGGCGGAGCGGTGGAACCGCTCAGGAGTGTGCGCACGCAACAACAACAACAACAAAAAAAAACCCTGCGCCCCCCCACCCCCAGCGCTCAGAGCCCACCATGGTCCTGTTGGGTTGGCTGCCCCAGCCCCAGCCTACGGGATAATGCCATCAACCTGACCGCTCGCTCCTGGTCCCCGCGTGCGCACTATGGCTGCCGCTTTGACCCGAGCCCCCTCACCCTCTCCCTCCCTCCCCCCTCCTCTCTATCCCCAAACCCTCCCCTCTCTGCATCTCTCCCGCTCTGTCCTCCTCTTTCTCTGTCCCTCTCGCCTTCTATCCCCACTTGACCCTCCTACAACCTCCCTCTGTTCCAGCCTGGGAATCCTCCGCCGGGCTCACCGTGGCACTCGGCGTTGGCTGTCCAGCAGCAGCCACACTGACTGCCCCATTCCCCACCACACTCGCCAGCCACCCTGGACACAGACCCGGGGAGCCACCCTCTCCTCCCTTATCCGCATTTCCCCCACCCCTGCCTCACAACCTGGACCCCCCTCCCCCCGCACACACGCTTCTGTCAACCGCTCCATCCACATCGGACTACAAAACGTCCACTCCCTCTGTAACAAGGCCCTGGTCATCAACGATCTCATCCTTGATGAGAGCATTGACATCATGGCCTTAACAGAAACCTGGCTCACCCCAGGCGACACCTTCCCCCTCACAGAGGCCACACCACCCGGCTACACCTCCCACCACATCCCTCGCCCCAACCGCCGTGGCGGTGGTGTTGCCCTTATCTCAAGGACACCACTTGCCCTATCCCCCTACTCCTCTGGCTCTTTCCCCTCTTTTGAGCACCTCACCCTCTCCCACCCCTCCTTCCTCTCACTTAAAATCCTCCTCCTCTACCGGCCCCCTAAAACCTCTCCCACCTTCATCTCCGATATTTCGACACTTCTTACATCTCTCTGCCTCTGCTCTGATCGCCTCATCATCCTGGGCGACTTTAACCTGCACTTCACCCCCTCCTGCTCCATCTCCTCAGACTTCTCTTCCCTGCTCTCCTCGCTCAACCTCTCCCTCCACATCAACTCCCCCACTCACAGTCACGGCCACCCACTCGACTTGGTGATCACCCGGGGCCTCAGTGTCTCGGATGTCACTATCACCGACAAGGCCGTCTCCGACCACCACTTCATCTCCTTCACCACCTCCACCCCCCTCCCCACCTCCACCAGACCCACCACCATCTTCTACCGCCCCTGGAAGAAGTTAACCCCACAATCCCTAACCGCTGCCTTGGAGTCCTCTGAACTCCTCTCCCTCTGGCCTTCAACCCTCACTGACCCCACTTCTGCTCTCACCCTCCTCCACAACACCCTCTCCTCCACATTTGACTCTCTTGCCCCCATCACCTCCCGTACTGTCTCCTACTCTCGCTCCTTCCCCTGGTTCACCACCCACCTCCGCTCACTGAAGTGCCAGGTGCGGGCCGCTGAACGCACCTGCATCAAATCTGGCCTAACGGTCCACCGACAAATCTGGCTGGACCTCCTCAAAATCTACCGCTCCACTCTAGCCTCGGCCAAGTCGTCCTTCTACTCCAGGATAATCCTGGAGGCGAAGAACAACCCCAGGCTACTGTTTTCTACCACATCCCGACTCCTCCGTCCCCCCCGCCACCCCGCGCAGGTCATCTCCTCCAACCTTCACTGCGAGGAGATGCTGGATTTCCTTGAATCCAAAATCAAGGGAATTCGCTCCGCGGTCACTTCCCCTCCAACATCCACCCACCACCCACCCCTTCCCTCCCACACTCCGACTCCTACCCATCCTCCCCTACACACTTCGTACCCGTTTCCCCACCCTCTGTCACCAAACTCATCCTATCCCTGAAACCCACCACCTGCTCCCTTGACCCCATCCCCACTCCACTCCTTATCTCCCAGCTCCACCTCCTTGCCCCACATATCACAGACATCGTCAACCTGTCCCTCTCCTCTGGCTCTGTTCCCATTCCCTTAAAAACTGCCACCATCACTCCCACCTTGAAAAAACCCTCCCTTGATGCGTCGCAGCTATCAAGCTACCGGCCCATCTCCAACCTCCCCTTCCTGTCCAAGGTCTTGGAACGAGTTGTCGCCTCCCAGCTGCGCTCTTTCCTCTCCACCCATTCATTATTCGAACCCCTTCAGTCGGGTTTCCGTGCTGCCCATAGCACAGAAACTGCCCTGGTCAAGGTCACCAATGACATCCTGACCATCTGTGACCAGGGCTCCCTCTGCCTCCTCGTCCTCCTCGACCTATCGGCAGCATTCGATACGGTCGACCACGCTATCCTCCTCCACCGCTTGTCCTCCCACCTCAACCTTCAAGGCCCTGTCCTTGAGTGGTTTAGGTCGTACCTCTCCCACCGTCTTCACTTTGTCTCCACGAACGGCTTTTCCTCCGCCCCCGCACTGTCTCGTGCAGTGTCCCTCAGGGCTCTGTCCTCGGTCCCCTCCTCTTCACCCTCTATATGCTCCCCCTTGGTGACATCATCCGCAGACATGGGGTTAACTTCCACATGTATGCGGATGACACCCAACTCTACCTTTCCTCCTCTACCCTCAACTCCACGACCACCGATGTCCTGACAGCTGCCTGTCCGACATCGAGTCCTGGACGAGAGACAACTTTCTTCAGCTCAACGTGCGCAAAACTGAGGCCCTCCTGATTGGCTCACGTCAGCGCCTCCGCACCTCAGGCGCTGACAGCATCAGCATCCAAGGCTGCACTCTCCACCTCTCAAAGCCAGTCAGGAACCTCGGGGTTCTGTTCGACCCTGAGCTGTCCTTTCTCCCTCATATCCGCGCCATAACTGGCACCGCCTTCCATCACCTCCGGAACATCGCCAGACTACGGCACTACCTCACCCCTCACGCTGCTGAAACTCTGGTCCACGCCTTTATCACCTCAAGGCTGGACTATGGGAACTCTCTCCTCGTTCTGAATTTAGTCCCCTCGAATCGCAGGCCGTGTCCTTTGTGTCCCTATATTAGATAAGAGGCTTCCATCCATGGACTGGCTGACTGTAGAATGTAAGATAGCTAGGATTCAGTGTCAATCCTTCCTTTCTTCCCTTCAGCAAAATAAGGAAAAGGAAAGCTGTTGGGAATCAATCATAACCCAGCTTGCACACTCTCATCTAATTATTCCATATTTTACCATTACTGGACAAGTCATTGGTTAGGACTCTGGACCTTGAATAGCATATTCTGTGTTACACTGAATAAACTCTTGTCTACTGTCTTGTTCTGATCAAGTGGCCCATTTTCTTCTTAAGGTGCTATATTAAGGTGGTGTCAGCTTTGCTCACTCGGAATCAGAAAGTTGTGTGATCAAGCCACCCATGAGGAATTGAGTTTATATTCTAGTCTGGCTCTCCAAAACAGTAATAATAATAATAATCCTTGCATTTGATATAGCACCTTTTCACGTCACAGAATAGAGTGTAAAATGAATTGACTGTAATATTTTGTGGGAGTACTGCATTGTCAGAGGTGGCATCATTCAGATGAATAAATTGAGGTCCTGTTTGTTCAGCTGCTGTTGAAAATCCCATTACACTATCAGAAAGATTGGAGTTTCTCCTGCTGTCTTGGCTAACAATCTTCCAGATTATTTGATGATTCATTGTGCGGCTATATATGTGACTTAATAGCCACAAATGGCTGCTGCATTTGTCTACAAAGACAGTAACTGCACTTGCCATTATTTGTGAAATGCTTTCATACATTCCACCATCACAAGGTAGTGAAAAAAGTTCTGTCTTCTGTATTTTAGGATTATAATAAATAATAATAATCCTTGCACTTGATATAGCGCTTTTCACATCTTTGAGATGTCTCAAAACGCTTCACAGAATATATTGTAAAGTGAGTTGACTGTATATTTGTGGGCGAAACGTGGCAGCCAATTGCGCACAGCAGTATCCCACAAACAGTCATGGATTGAAATGACCAATTTATTTATTTTTCTTGAGGGATTATTATCAGGCATGTGGAGTAAAGAAACTTGCCCAAGGTTTCACCCTGCCGGGAATCGAACCCAGGTCTCTCGCTTGAGAGTGCTCTAACCACTAAGCTACAACACTCCACAATTATCATGAATGTGACTTGATTGCAAGACTTCAAGGCTCCATCTGCCTGTTCAGGTGGACGTTAAAGATCCTATACCACCATTCGAAAAGAGAAAAGAGTTTCTCCAGGTATCCTGGCCAACAATCCCCCAGATAAAATTGGTTGTTCAATTCATGACTCATTGTGGGATATTGCTGTGCACAAATTATCTGCCACAGTTGCCTACAAAATACACTTTTTAGTAGATCCTGTGAAACACTCTGAGACGTCCTCACTATGTGAAAGATGTTATATCAGATGTACAGATTACTGTATTACTTTTTATTGTCTGAGGTACGTTCAGATGCTATACAGCAGAAAGTGCAGTGTTCCCACATGGGCGGTAATTCTGAGTAATTACAACTGGAAATGTGTCTACAGGAACTTAATACCTGAAAGTCGGAAACTTACCCCCAATGTTTTTTTTAATAGGTCATAAATAATGGTCTGAGATATGAATAGCTATTCCACCTACTATTTCCAGATGATACTTTGGGATTAGAAACATATGAATCGAAAGTGTTGAACGTTACTCATTTGTGGCACATGCAAGTTGTTTGGGTGACCCAAACCATGTTTGCAAAGCTCGAGAGGATTATTGGTATCACATGGGACCTCAGCTTAAGCCCCATTTTGCTGAAAGTACACAAGCAACGCAGTTCATGGCAGTGCTGAAAGTGTCAGTACTGTGTCACCTTTCAACAGCTGTGCATCGATCTTTTCCCAAATCGTTTTGTGCTGCAGCTGTTTCCAGGAGCCATATGTTAACTAAATGCAGCTGATGAAAGGGCTGCTATTTCAGGTCGAGTGCCTCATTTTGTTTAATTGTGACTGCAGTAAAAAAACAAATGTGTTAGTGATGTAGTGGCACAGTGTGTGCATCACCAAGTTCTGCATCACCATCCTTCCCCCCCACTCCAAGTGGAGCCCTGTAGCTCAGTGGTTAGAGCACTCACCTCGCAAGCGAGAGGACCTGGGTTTGATTCTCGGCAGGGCAAAATGTTGGGCAAGTTTCCTTGCTCCACATACCTCTGTTTACCCAGCAGTAAGTAAGAACCCGGTTGTTAGTTAATTGGCGGGTTGCTTTTCCGGGGGTAATAATTCCTTCAAAAATAATAATAATAAAATGGACGCTCAATCCATGACTGTTTGTGGGACACTGTGGGCGCAATTGGCTGCTGCATTTCACACACAAAATATACAGTCAAATTCACTTTACAGTATATTCTGTGAAGCTCTTTGAGACGTTTTGAAGATGTGATAATATGTTAAATCCAATATATAGTATTATATTTTGCCACTATCTTGCCTGTTTTCAAGCCTGGTGGCAGAGTTTGAGCACTGCTTCCCAGGATACTGATTCACTTAAGTCAATATCCTATTTTTAGCTGCAATCCAACGCCAAACCTGTAAACGGGGGTCAGAGACAGAGTGGAGAAATCTTCGGGCCCAATCCGGGCTTTGTATAGCGTTTGGGCCTGAGGATGTCTCTGTACAGTTGCTGTTCCTGATCATGGGGATCAGCATTTTAGGGCAGCTAAAAATAGTGCATTGACCTAATTTAGTCGCTATCCTGTGAAGAGGCACTCAAAAGCTGCCTCTGAGATTTAAAGACAAACACGGTACTTTTTAAATGGCAGGAAAGATGTCAGCAAAAACCAAATTCTGTGAAGCAAATGTTGCGCTATGAAGAACAGGAGCAAAGTTTTAGGCTGAAACCAGGGTCTCATCTCGTCCTTGAGCTTTCTCAAAGCACTTTACAGAATATATTGTAAAGTTAATTGACTGTATATTTTTGTCCCACAAACAGTCCGGGATTGAGTGACCACATTTTTTAACATATAATTTCACAGTTAGTCTTCTGAAATGGATGGAAAACTGTGACGTTTCATAGCATAGTGATTATCGAATGCTTTATCAAATGACACAATTGTCACCTGACTGTACCAACATGAGTCACCAGGAAAGGAGGGAGTAAGAACATAATTATATCCAGCTGCCACAGTTTCATCTAACTGTTCTGATAAATGTTTCGGTACACAGTATTCTTTTCCATTGGCACAGCTTCCCAACTTTACATTCCTGTTACATCTCATCATACCTCAGAAATGTCACGCAGGTCTATGGTTTTCATTACAGAATCGTGCAGCACAGTGGGTGCTAACCTTCTCTGTGCCTCTGCTTGTTTCTCACAACATAGCTGCCAAAATCTAAATGCACCGTCACCGGCTTCTGTTAATAAAATGTCTTTTTTGACCATTGCAGGATTTCGTAGAGGATTCAAAACTTGTCCTGGGAGGTTCTGTTGCCAAGGTGGCAGCACTGCAGGAGTGTGTATTTCAGCAAAGTGACTCTGCCAGCATTGCAGGTCAGTGGACAAACGTCAGGCTCTAACACATGCTGTTTGCAGAGTTAATGTCTGCTGCATGCGAGACCCCCTGCATATAACACTTCAGGAGATTGTATGAGTCTTACCCTGTGAATGGCAAGCTCTGCATTGTACACATGAGGGAAATGGCCAAGACTGTCCTGCAGAACAATGAAAAGCGTTTGAGTGATTAATGACTGCTTCTCAAGAGACACTTGATGTGTTTGAAACCGAATTACCCTTTCTGGAGCTGAATACAATAAAAGCAGGCAGATCCACAACCATTTATTATTGCTTTTATGCTATGAGCTTTCCTGTGGAGGGACCCATAATGGAAAGAGGCAAGTCTCCCAGCATGGCATTTTCCCAGATCCTTTTCTGGTGTTAGATCAGCTGCTGCTATTGTAACGAGTTGCTGGAAAATATAATCCTTCCATTTGGTATTGCACCTCTCATGTGAAGAGTATCTCAAAGCACTTACAGGATTTACTGGAATGTGTAGTGATTGCATTTTATATGTAATCATTGCAACCAATATGCACACACAAGTGTCCCACGAGCAGCTATGAAGTGAATGGCCAATTTTATCTGGGGGATTGTTGGCCAGGACACTGGGAATTTACACTTCACTATACAGTAAACATGTGAAGAGATGTTTCAACAACTTGTATTTGATGCTTCAAATGGAACCATCAAATGCAATTGTAATTATTATTGTTATGTGAGCGTTTAAACACACTGACCTCTTTTCGATTAGTGCCCATGGGATCTTTAATGTCCACATGAACAGGTTTACGGGACCATTATTTCAGTTGAAGTGATCGAAAAATTAAAATTAAAATTTTTTGTGTATCTATGATGCATCTGATGCATGTAATTGCATTACATACACTAGCACCCGGCCCCCTTCAGAAGTGTGGAGGTGAGTTCCACCAAGGTAAAAGAAGCATGCGTAGAAAAATATAGAAACAGGAGTAGGCCATTCAGCCCCTCGAGCTTGTTCTGCCATTTTATAAAACCGTGCTGGGTTGCACTGCACTGTGCCACAATGCAGAAATAGCATTATTTGGGTACAGATAATAAATGGTACCAAACCCAGGTTAAGCGTTTTATTAATGATTGTTCCAACTCTAAGTATTGTTGGGCTCCACTCCGTGTGGCATATTTAATTGGTACCGCAACAGTAGTTTAGAAATCACAAGCAACATCCCACAAAGAATGATCTTTGGCCCCTTTATAATAATCCTATATAATCATGCTTGCATTCGATATAGCGCCTATCAGGTCAGGAGGATGTCTCACAGGATTTGCTGTAAAAGATAGTGACTGTTTATTTTGCAGGTGAACTTCTGATTTCATTTGAACTTCTGATTCATTTTGATCTTATCCTTCCAGAATATGGTCCATTATAGTATCAAGAGGTTTCTGAAATACATCTAGGATGCTGGCCACAACCATTTATTCCAGTTTCAGATTTCCAGCATCTGCAGTATTTTTCATTTCATTTATTCCAGTTATTGGTTACCCACTGTGCTCAGAACTGGAGGCGGCCCTAAAATTGCCCTTCACAAACCCTGAAACTATGTCTTCCTACACTGCTGCCTTGACATATAAGACCTTGCCATTTTTCACTGCCATTAGCTGCTATTAAAAAAAAGGAAAATTAATATTACAGCAACTCTCCTATTTGAGTAGACTGTCTGCTTCCCTGAGTACCAAGTAACTCCTAACCCACAGCATTTGGAGACGAAGTGAACTCTTGTACTGGAGTCTATGTTAGGATTTGGAATGAGACAAGGACTGGGTAGTGTACAGCATCCAGGCGGGACTCAGGGAATGAAAGCACTCTTGTCTGATCAATGTTTGGGTCCTATGTGAAATTAACTTGCACAAGTTTCAACATAAATCTTAAGGTTAGGATTAGAAATACCACTGCCCCCAAAATTTATTTAGGAGAGGATGTGGGGAAATGGGAACATTTACATTGGTGTTCAATGGAGTGGTGACCTTTGGTGGAGAAGGAATATAGTGTTGGGGCATAGAAGAGGGGTTTTAGTTATGTTCCTTCCAGTACTAAGTGTTGTTGAGCTCCATTCAGTGTTGCATTACATTGCATCTGGACAGTGCTCCTTGACCCATTGGCAACATGTGCAGGATGTTGCCACTGGGTGGCAACAGTGATGAGATATTTCAATCCCAAGTACTGAATATCCCTCCCTTAATGTACTCAGCACAACCATTATATACAAAACATTTAGACTAAAAATCAGGAATTTAGAATCAGAAATGAGATTACATTCACCACAAATTAGAACTAGAAATCAGAGACTAACCCTGTTGGAGATCAGACACACTAACTACAGGTGTGAGCTATGAGATGCAGTAACTAAACATGTTTGCCCTCAAATACACAATCACTACACTTTACAGTAAATCCTGTGAAGCGCTTTGAGATATTTCAACGATGTGCTAAGGTGTTTCAAATACAAATATAAAATGCTAGTATTATGTGAGCTATTAGACAAACTAACTAAATATGTGAGAGATCAGACACACTAAATATGTGTGTGAACAACCAAATACACTAACCATGTGTGAAAGATGACACTTGCTAAATATTTGAGATCAGAATCGTTATCTACACATTTGAGAGGTCAAATTTGATAAATAAATAAATTTGATACAGCATCTTATCACATTGTTGAAATGTCTCAAACCACTGCACAGGATTTTACTGTAAATGGTTGTGTCTGTATATTTGTATGTGGATTCTAAATAAGTTAAACGTAAGATAGAAGTTACTTACTTAAAACTAGCGTTCACTTATGTAATTACAGACTAAGAAACTTCAAAATCACATATAGATGCATTTGCACTATTGTGACACATTTTGTGCTGATCTCACACTCCCTTTGTAGTAGCAGAACTTCCACTACCACCTTGTAACTCCGCTTCCTTGCTAGCAGAAATGCCAGTTATTACTCATGTTGCTTTCTAAATGTATGACTGAGCTTAAAAATAAATATGGCTCCATATGTTTCAATAGGTTTGCAATCTATATTACAGAACGTCACTCTTAACATTTCACCTGATACATCACCGCCACCAAATGTGTAAGCTCTAAGAAGAGCAGCTGTAATCCCTGTTGCCACTAGAATGGGTGTACTTTCTCATAAGTCATAACTGAACAGAATTTGGCAAATTTCTTAAATAATTTTGAAATTGGTTTTCTATAAATTTCTTTTAGAACTACACCAAAATGATTTAGACTTAATCATTTCAGACTGAAATGGAGGCTGTCCTAAAATTGAAAGAAAGAAATATGAAGAGCTATTTCACTTGCACTTGAGACTTCAGCCAGATTTCAACTGATGTTAGGACAGACACCAGAAAATATTTAGTTATATAGTATTTTGTTATACATATTCGTTATATCAAAGCTGGAATGGGTTATTGGGCTCATATAAGAAACAGCTTGGTGCTACAATGCCAGGATGGCAGGATTGGTATTCAGGAAAGATGAAAGTAAAATAGGTCTTATTGCTTTTGTGATTCTATGAAAATTTGGTCAGCAACAAACTTGTGGACTCATGATCAGTTCATGTAACAAAATTAATTGAGGTGCTTCATTTGTGAAACGGTTTGTCAGATTATCATGGTATAGGTGCATATATTATTATTTTTATTGTTCAGATGAAACTAGTAGAATATTTACTTCTTGTGCACTTAAATTCCAGGTGATGTCGGAAGGCTTTTGGTCAACCAGATGACACAACTCAATAAAGTGCTGGGAGAAATGAAAGAACTTCTAAGACAGCAGGTAAAGAGCTAACTCTTCAATAAATAGCATTGGACGGTTGAGGTAATATGGTCGAGGAGATTAGTGGTCAAGACAAAGTAAGTCAATGCCCTAATGGGTAGGGTGATCATAGCTGGACGACCAGCAGGAAGATAGCTACACAGTGCTCTCAATGGCAAGCTTTGGTTAGCTGGTTAAACTCCAGCAGTACCCAACTCTCTGGGGTTCCCCAGAATTTCTCCTTGGCTCTTGCCATCCTGCTATGGATCAGGTAAACAGGATGTGTCCCTCCAGAGCGCACATTCTATTCCATTCCATTTCAGGCATGGGAATTTCCATGTGCAGATGGCATACATGCATGTCTGGTTTGGATCCTCTTGAGCATGATGATGGGTTTCTGCATGTGTTAGACATCTGGCTCACCCAAAAAACTAAAAGGAAGCGCAACAATTTGTCAAGAGCCAGAGGACTAAGCTAAACTTTTACCATTAAGTGTAATTGATGTCACTGTAGCGCATGTTTGTAAAGAAACCAGAAGGTTTAAAAAACTCTTTATCAAGAAGTTGGTGCTTCTCAATCAGCCTCACTCTGCTAGAGCAGGTGGGGGAGCCAGAGTTGAAGAACTCTCCTCGCTGTCTCGTGTCTTGCCTATGAGCACTCACTTGACACAGCAAATGACAACTCACTTGTCTGCTCACCTGTGGGGAGGTAACTCACCTTCGGACCATGTGACCACCAACGTATGTGATTGCGACCGCTGGGAAGGTGGAAGACAAACTAGATGGACTTTGGTCTTTTTTTCATTTAGCATTTCTTATGTTTTTATATTCTAATGCCCTCCTCACCAGACTATACATCTCCCTCCATGAGCTGCAGACCATCTAGGACTCTGCAGCCCATGTCCTCTACCACACCAGGCTTGCAGGCCCATCACCCCCATCCTCGCTCAACATCTCCCAGGACTTAGGAGATCAAATTCAAAATTCTCGTCTTCAATTTCAAATGCCTTCACAGCCTTACCCCACCCTATCTCTTGTGACCCTACTGTCTCAGCTGCTTGCTTCATTCAGCAAACTGCTTCAAGGCCCTGCCCACTCCGTCCCATACTCAGTATGCAAGCATTCAGTCATTCTGTTCTCACTCCCTGGAACTCCACACCCAGAGTTTCTCCACCCTGCCTCCTCTTTCCCCCTCTTCAAAACCTAACTTAGTGGAGTGCTGTAATTTGAGCACTCGCCTCACAAGCAAGAGGGCCTGGGTTCAATTCCCGGCAGGGCAAAATGTTGGGCAAGTTTCCTTACTCCACACGTCTCTGTTTACCTAGTAGTAAGTGGGAAACTGGTTGTTAGTCGATTGGTGGATCGCTTCTTCAGGGGCAATAATCCCTTCAAAAAACATTTTTTTTAAAAAATAAAAATAATTTAGTCACTCAATCCACCACTGTTTGTGGAACACTGCTGTGCGCAATTTGCTGCAGCGTTTCGTCCACAATAAATATAGTCAATTCACTTTACAGGATATTCTGTGAAGCGCTTTGAGACATCTTGAAGATGTGATAAGGTACTATTTCAAATGGAAGAATTATTATTATTATTAACCTGGGCTCCCAGTCAGCTGTGTGAAAGGCGCTATATAAATGTAAATTGTTGCTTGAATGACAAAGCTATTACACAGTGTTGTCTTTTGACAGGTCAAAGAAACAACTTTGCTGCGTCACACCATAGCAGAATGCGAGGCCTGTGGTGAGCATCTGAACATTATTCCAGTTTGAATTTTAACTCTTTCTGGTCTTGCAATTCTTAATTCTTACCCAAAGAAATGCTGTTTTTTATATTTCCCCTTGAATTTTCCGGCTTGGCCTCTGGTTTCAAAATGCTGATGATAATAATAATAATCCTTGCATTTGATATAGCACCTTATTACGTCCTCTTTCTATTTTCTGAAAATCTAAGGTAGCAACATTTTGTTTTTATATTTCCTGGAAGTTGCGCTGTAGTAGATATTTGTAGGCAAACCTGGCAGCCAATTTGTACAATGTCGTGTAGTCAGAAGGTGAGCGATCAATTTATCTGGAGGATTGTTGGCCAGGACAGTGGGAGACGGGTTAGCTAGTGGACCACTCTTCCATTTGTTAGAGGGATCTATTATAAAGTACGGGCATAGTCTTAAATTCAGAGCAAGACAGTTAGAGCTGATGTCAGGAAGCATTTCTTCACAGAGAGGGGTTGTGAAGATTTAGAATACTTTGCCCCAGACAGAAAGAGGCATCAATAAGAATGCTTAAAAGAGAGATAGACAGATATTTGAAAGTATAGCGAAAGGGAAAGGGGTTAAAAGATCTGTCAAGTCCTAGAAAACTGGTGGAACAAGCTTAATGGGCTGAATGGCCTCCTCTTGTTCCTGTTTTCCCATGTTTTCTTCCAACTCACTCCAAGCTTTAAATTATTCTCAGTCTGGTCACCTTTCAGATGTCTTGACAATGTGATCAGGAGCTATATCGAATGCAAGGATTATTATTTTTCTAAATCTTCTATTTCAGGTGTTGGATTCATTGACCCTGAGGAAACTGAAATCCCAATGACCCCCTTTGTTCCCCATCCTCCCAAACCTCAATGTGATTCAACCTCTTGCTTCCAAGATGTAAAATGCAGTGAGACAGTGAATGGATTCCAGTGTGGCCCCTGTCCAGCAGGGTTTATAGGTGATGGAATTCGCTGTACTGATGTAGACGAGGTAGAGTACAATGGCAAAACCTTTGGTGGGTTTGATTCATTACAATTACATAACAAATAACCAAGAATTTTCTTGTTGTTCGATGTTCACATGCTGTTCTTGGTGCTGAGTGTCCGGACTTGGTTTTAGCCTGAACTTAATAGTGATTTCCCATTTCTCTCCCTGTAGTGTCAGGTGAGCCCATGCTTTCCCAGAGTCCACTGCGTGAACACATCTCCTGGATACTACTGCGAGGATTGCCCAACAGGTTATACAGGGCAGAGTGTCCATGGGATAGAAATGCGATTTGCAAGGTTAAACAAACAGGTAAGTTCCAGCCACCCCCAGGGGTTATCACTCAGTAGACCAAAGATCATGTTACATAGGGATAAGTGTCTTATACGCTAAGCCATTTCAACTGTAACAACAACAACAACTTGGCGTCTCAGAGTGCTTTACAGTTTAGGATCCCGGGACCGAGCCAGGGGGAGGGGTGGGAAGGTGACCAAAGTCGCGGTCGAAAAGGTCTTCAGCAGAGACCTGAAAATGGGAAGGGAGGGAGCGAGACGAAGGGAGTGAGGAAGGCAGTTCCAGAGCCTCGGGGCACAGTGGCTGAAGGGACGGCCTCCGAGGGTAGAGCGGTGGACTCGGGGGACAAGGAGGAGGCCAGACCCCGAGGAACAAAGGCAATGGGTACTTTGCTGACGAGAGAGGAGGTCAGAGAAGTAGGGGGGGTGCAGAGGAGTGCAGGGACTTGAATAGAAGGGTGAGGATTTTGAAATCGATCCTCTCTGGGATAGGGAGCCAGTGTAGTCTGGCAAGGACTGGGGTAATCGGGGAGCGGAGTTTCGTGCGGGTGAGAATGTGGGTGGCAAAGTTCTGAATGTTAGTAACCGTATATGTTATTAGCTTTGTTTCAGCTCTTTCTCCATCTTTCTCCAGTACTAAAGCCCCAATTTTTTCGAGGCCTTAGCATTTAAAACCACTGTATTAACATTTAAGGTTTTGCAGAATTTTGGAAAATTCTTGAATTACAGCTTTATTTGGGAGCCTGTTTTCTCCATGACTTACAAAGAACTGCGTAAGATCAGCTTCCAAATCAAGGCTTAATTTTCCCAAATTTTGAACACCTTAAATTTTAAAGCTAAGACCATAAGAAATTAAGGCAAAGAATCCCATTGAGTATTGGCCTGTAACATTCTTTTAAACGGAAAGAACGCGTAGAATTGTGTAGAATTCCATATATTATTTGGAAGCCAATTGTCCACAGTTCTGCCAAAGAGCATCTCTCACTCCATCTGATCTGAAGGGAGGTTTCTCAACTCATATATCTGAAGAGAGAGTGGGAGTCAACAAAGGTTATGTAGTGGGGTCCTCAAATAATCGCTCTTGCCCACCTTTGACTAAATTCTCTGGGATTAGGCACACAGGGTGAACCCCTCTGAGGAAAGAGTGTACACTCCATGCCAGATAAACAGAGATTTCCAAATATGTGTGGAACTCTCAATAGTTTGGTTTGGAGACGACTCCTGATTGGCTCGCGCCAGCGCCTCTGCACCTCAGGCTCTGGCAGCATCAACCTCCATGGTTGCACACTGCAACTCCCCAAGCCAGTCAGGAACATAGGTGTCTTGGTTGACCCTCAACTGTCTTTTCTTCCCCACATCCAAGCCATGACCCGCTCTGCCTTCCCTCACCTCCGTAATATCGCCCGACTCCGCCACTACCTCACCCCTCAGGCCGCTGAAACTCTTGTTCATGTCTTCATCACCTCCAGGCTCGACTATGCAAACGCTTGTCGGCATTCCCAACTCCTCCTCCACAGACTGCAGATAATCCAGAACTCTGCAGCCCGTGTCCTCTCCCGCATCAAACTCCGTGACCCCATCTCCCCCATTCTCACCCAACTCCATTGGCTCGCTATCCTTCAGAGGATCCAGTTCAAGATCCTGGTCCTCACCTACAAAGCCCTCCATGACCTCGCCCCACCCTACCTCTGCGACTTCCTAACCTCCTCCCAATGCGCTCACCCCCTCCACTCAGCCGGCTCCGGCCTGTTCCATGTCCCCCAACCCACCATTGGCGGTGAGTTTTCAGCCACTCTGCCCCCAACCTCTGAAATTCCATTCCTTAGCCTCCTTTAAGTCTCGCCTCAAGATCCTCCTCTTCAACCATGCCATCGGCCACCCCTCTTCCTCTCCCCTCCCTTCTCCCCCCTGACCCCAGCTCGGGTCTAATATGCTGTACACTGTCCAGCACCTTGGAACATCCTCCCGATGTGAAAGGCGCTATACAAATGTAATCTTGTTGTTGTTGTTCTTAAGCATGATGATTGGTTTCTGTCTGTGTCAGATATTCCACTGACTAAAAATAAAATTGGGAAACAGTCAACAGAGAAACTAGGAGGCAACCATTACTTATTAATGTGAGAGAGTAGTGAGGTTTCCAAATTTACATTCATATTTAAGAAAGTAGTTTCAGAGGATAGAGCCATAGTATCTGTACTTGCTATTCAACCATGTTTGTGACATATATGTGCTTCAGGTCTGCACTGATATTGATGAATGCCAGAATGGAAGGAGCAGTGGATGTGTTTCCAATTCTCAATGTATTAACACGATGGTAAGAATCTTAACATCTTTACTAAAGTATACCACAGTGTAGTAGACGTGTGTATCTGTATTGGGGATGCTCATGTTTAATTCAAAAAAGAAGATATTTTACTCACTTATAACTAGCCAAAATCAATAAATCTCCTCACTTCCCTATAATGTTGTCTCCTATCTATCGATCTGTCTGTCTGTATGTCTGACTGGCTCTCATCTTTCTATCTCTCATCTATCTCTTATCTCTCATCCTTTCTTGTTTACTCTTCTTTTCTCTTCTGAAGGCATTGACTCATGCAGTCCCACAAGTACCAGAGGCCTTCCAGAACCTTAGTCAAGTGAGATTATTCAACCACAGAAGGCAACCCAGCCAATTCTGACCTGCTCCTCACCCAGCACCCACATGTGCACTTTCCACCGGTGAATAGCAGAAACTTGGCCTTATTATTCTGGCTCTCACCCAAGGGGTGGGGGGGTGGGGATAGGCCAGAACCAGCACTTTTATTGCCACTCAGGATGAGGTTAGCTAACAGTAAGGAGAGGAATATGCCTTTAACTTTTGACCTAGCATTATTTTCCTCCTTTCAGTGTCTTTCAGTCTCTCTGACTACTCCTTGGCTGCTGGCCTATAATCTCGCATCTCGTAAGTTATTTAAATAGAAATGTGTCCTGTGTCATTTATCCACTGAAATAACTGCTATAACTCAGTTGTGTCTTGTTGTGAGCATGAAATAGTATTTTTACTACTGTGTGATGTACTTATTTCCTGCTTGTCTGTCTGTAAAACTTCAGGTGTCAGCCTGGCACAGTGGGTAGCAATCTCATCTGTCCTATAGTTGTTGGTTCAAGCCCCACTTCAGGACTTTGATCTTACAGTCTAAGATGACACACAATTCAGATGAGACGTTAAACCAGGATCTCACGTGTCTGTTCAGATGGATGGTAACAATTCCATTGTACAATTAAAAAAGCGAATGGAGTTTCTCCTGGTGTCCTGGCCAACAATCCCCTAGTTTAAAAAGAAATGGTTAATCACTTCATGGCTGTTTGTGGGACATAGCAGTGTATAAATTGGCTGCCTTCATTCTCCTTCAAGTACACAGTCATTCCATTTTACAGAAAACTCTTTCATTTGGTTCAACCTGAAGCATTATTATTTCTGATTTACATATTGGTTTTACTAGGGATCCTTCAGATGTGGTTCCTGTCGGAGTGGCTATGTAGGGGACCAACTAAGAGGATGCAAACCTGAGCAAAGCTGCACCAACCATCTCCTGAACCCTTGCCACACAAATGCTCAGTGCTTTATGGAAAGAGGCGGCAATGTCTCCTGTACCGTGAGTTTACATTCCTGCCATCTCATGAATGAGTCGTGCAGAGTTTTGTAAATTGCTTAATAAAACAGTGTGCTCCAGCACGGACACAATGGGTTGAATGGGCTTCTGTGCTGCAAATTTTCTTCAGTTCAAACATTCTAAGATTCTGCAGCAGATGAGAAGTGAACAATTAGAAGTGGAGTCCTGTACCTCAGTGGTTAGAGCACTTGCTTTGCAAGTGAGAGAGACCTGAGTTCAATTCCAGGCAGGGCGAAACCTTGGGCAAGTTTGCTTACTCCACACAGAGCCTAATAATAATCCCTCCAAAACCCAAAACAATAATAAATTGGTCATTTTCAATCTACGACTGTTTGTGGGACATTGCTGTGCGCAATTAGCTGCTGCGTTCGCCCACAAATATACAGTCAATTCACTTTACAGTGTGTTCTGTGAAGCGCTTTGGGACGTCCTCCCGACGTGAAAAGCGCTATATCAAATGCAAGGATTATTATTATTATTATAATTATGTCTGCCTTTGTTCTTTTATAGTGTGGCATTGGCTGGGCTGGCAATGGCTACATATGTGGGAAAGATACAGACATCGATGGATATCCTGATCAAGATCTCAGATGCCATAATAGAGACTGCAGAAAGGTTAGAAATCCACACCAACTGGGTGCAATAACAATGAGCTTTATTTAAGACGCGCAATATGTTAGGCCACCACTTAAGGCCCTTTGTGATCCAATAAGGAGAGACATTGGCAACAATGCTCCTTTTTGCCAAATGTATAGTGTTTTCCATAGTGTTTCATAGTGTTTTCAGGAAAGACCAAATTACCACGTTCTGGAGAGTTTTTGATGAAGTAACGGAGAGGGTGAATGAAGGTAGTGCAGTTGATGTAGTTTATATGGATCTTCAAAAGGTGTTTGATAAAGTGCCACGTAAGAGACTTTAAAGCAAAATAGAAGCCCACGGTATTAAAGGGACAGTGGCAGCATGGATACAGAACTGGCTGGGAATCAGAAAGCAGAGAGTGGTGGTGAATGGTTGTTTTTCTGACTGGAGGCAAGTGTGCAATGGTGTTCCCCAGGGATCACTGCTGTTTTTGATCTATGTAAATGAGCTGGACTTGGGTATAAGGAGTACAATTTCCAAGTTCGCAAATTATACTAAGCTAGGAAATGTAGTAAACAGTGAGGAGGATAGCAGCAAACTGCAAATGGACTTAGACAGACTGGTAAAATGGGCAGATATGTGGCAGATGAAGTTTAATGTGGAGAAACGCAAAATGATGCATTTTGGGAGGAAGAATGAGGAGAGGCAATATAAGCTGATGGTACAATCTTAAAGGGGGTGAAGGAACAGAGAGACCTGGGGGTTCATATCAGTAAATCTTTGAAGGTGGCAGGACTGGTAGATAAAGCTGTTAAAAAATACTGGCTTCATAAATAGGGGCATAGAATACGAACGTCAGGAAGTTATGATACACCTTTCCAAAACATTGGTTAGACCTCAGCTAGAGTACTGTGTTCAGTTCTGGGCACCACACATTAGGAAGGATGTCAAGGCATTTGAGAGGGTGCAAAGAAGATTTACCAGGATGGTTCCAAGAAAGAGTGACTTCAGTTATAGGGAGAGGCTAGAGAACCTAAGATTATTCTCCTTGGAGCAGAGAAGATTAAGAGGAGATATAATAGAAGTTTTTAAAATTATGAGGGGTTTTGATAGGGTGAACAAGGAGAAATAATTTCCACTGGCAGGGGGTTTGGTAACCCAAGGACACCGATTTAAAATAGTTGTTAAAAGAAACAGAGGGGAGGGGGTGAGGAGAAATTTTTTCACACAGCGAGTTGTTTGGAACTGGAATGCATTGCCTGAAAAAGTGGTGGAAGCCGATTCGATAACAACGTTTAAGAGTGAAGTAGATAATTATTTGGGGAGGACAAGTTTGCAGGGCTATGGGGAGAGAGCGGGAGAGTGGGGTTAAATTGGATAACTCTTTTCAAAGAGCCGGAACAGACACGATGGGCGGAATGGCTTCCTTCTGTGCTGTATAGTTGTATGATTCTATGATATCCAGGCCTGCTATCTTTCACAGAAAAGTTGTTGTGAGGGGATTTCCACTGGGTTATTTTTTCTTGCTCTTCACTTTGTATCCGTTTTCACTCAAGTGATGTGGGGAAGTCAGATTTGATGAAAATGAGAAGTAATTTGAATTTCTGCTGAGCAGAGAGCTGGAAAAAGGAACAAAGACCTCTTTAGCTACTGGAAACAGAACAGCCTCATCAAATAGTTTGTAGCATCAAAATGGATTTGAGTATTTTCCAGACAAATTCTGCTTCACTTCAAGTTTAGAATTGATTTTAAGTACGTTGTGGGTACTAATTGTAAAAATAATAATGAACAATAGTTTGAATCATTTTCATTTTCCAAATTTAAATAAAATCCAATTTACATTTATATAGTGCATTTTATACTGGGAGGAAGTCTGAAGACACTTAAAATAAAGAGTATTTCATGAAAACATTGTAAATAAAAATAGTAATTGTAGTTAATGATCAACTTTTCTGTGGGATATAAACACTGGGATGGTCTACTTGAGCAGAAGAGTCTATTTCTGTGCCATATCATTCCTTTGTAATTATATTTAATAGAATCTCAGACTGGAGGAGATGCTTGTGGTTGTTCAGCATTTGAAAATGTGAAGCTTTGACTGGTGGAATATGTTTATATAACATGAGATTGAGAATCTCCTTACAAGACACTGATACACTGACTGAAACTCTCCTCGCAAAACACTGATACACTGACTGAGAGTCTCCTCACTAAACATACATACTGACTGAGCCTCACGAGACACTGTAATGATCATTCCATAAGATATTGACACACCTGACTGAGATGAGAAGATACTGTCACTTGCTTGATTTTAGATACTTACATGAGACTTTCCAGGCTGTGAGAGTTGTCCGTCACTCACTTCAGTGAGTCAGATACAGTAATGCAGAATGCAAAGTGGTCTGATAGTTTTATAAATGGATTCCGCTAATGATTTTCATTACTTTTTCCCAGGATAACTGTATGTTTGTTCCCAACTCTGGACAAGAAGATGCTGATGGCGATGGGGCAGGAGATGCTTGTGATGAGGACGCAGATGGAGATGGCATTCTCAATGCACAGGCAAGTTTGTATAATGTAAAATCCAATTTGGATGGTACAGTCTGTTGGAGAGCACTTTGAACACTTATTGATTAAACATTGGTGTAAGATTATGTTCTGCTGTCACAAGGTAGAATTGCCAGCCCATCATCTATGGTTGATTATTGTTCTTCAATTCCAGATTTTAAATGTAACTCAAAGCATCAATAATAATGGGGAAAATCTAAGCAAAAAGTAATCCAAATTGAGAGATATGAAGAAGGTTAGGAGATGATGGATTTGCATTTTCTCTTTTTCAGGATAACTGTGTGTTGGTTCGTAACATCAATCAGCAGAACACTGACCAGGATAGCTATGGAGATGCTTGTGACAACTGTCGAACAGCAATTAACAATGACCAGAGAGACACAGACAATGATGGAAGGGGAGATGCCTGTGATGATGACATGGACGGAGATGGTAAGTATTTTATCTCAGGCTGTGGTACCCTTACATTTTACTGGCAGGAACATCCATCCTAACAGCAGTATCTATTTCCATTAAGAAAAAGCCTGATCCATAGTCAGGAGACAACCAAGAGGAGAGATGTAAAGATTACTGAAGAAGCAGTGATTTGGGAATAGTAACAATAATCCTTTCATTTGGAAAAGGCAGACAGGTGGGACCTCAGTTTAATATCTCATCCGAAGGACGGCAACTCCAACAATACAGCGCTCCCTCAGCGCTGCACTGGAGTGTCAGTGTAGACTGTGAGCTCAAAGTACCAACACAGGACTAGAAGCTATAACCTTACAATAATAATACTGATTTCCTTATCACGCCATTTAGACATCTCAAAACATGTCTCACAGGATACACTGTAAAGTGTGCATTATGTGTGTATCATGTGGGTGAAACCTTCTGACTCAAAGGTGAGAGTGCTACCAGCTGAGCCAGGCTGACACCCTGTTCCTATTTTATTTCTCATTTCTATCCCATAATGTCACTTTCCCGAAATGTGAGTTCCACATGGAGTGCGTTTTCATTTACCCAGTGGTCCACCTGGCCCAACCCTTCCCCTGCCGTTCAGAAGAAATAAAGAGAAGGTGGAGCCTTATTCTGACTTTTCTGTTTCTTTCGACAGGAATCAAGAATTTTCTGGACAACTGTCAGACATATCCCAACATTGACCAGAAGGACCGTGATAATGATGGTGTTGGTGATGCTTGTGACAGCTGTCCTGATGTTGTCAACCCTAACCAGGTGTGAGACAGCTTGCTTGATCGCCGGGTGGCTGACACTTGCGCAAAGCCATCCTTATGCTTAAAAGTATCCAAACCAGACTGAGAGGTCCATGTATACCATCGACACATGGACATCCCCATGTCTGAAAGGCAATGGGCATTCTTTCCCTAGAGGATAAGATCCCTTTGTACCAAGTCCACTGGTTTGTTAAACACTCAATGAAATTTGTAGCCTTGTGTGCAGGCTTCTGTAGGTAATATTCAGAGGAAGCAATTTAAGCATTTCACAGTTTTAATTGTTATCTTTATTTTCCATCCTTATTTTCCATTAGTACTGCTGAGATCATTTTTACTCTGTTCCTCAAAAAACTGTAGCCTCACTCCAGAGGAAAGTCTACCCTCACTCCCAGGGAAGGATCCCAGCCCTTAGTGATTTATTTGCTCCTCCAAGTCCTGCTGATGAGCCACACTGGCTGTTCCATCCTCAACGTTGTCCTGGAGTACTGAGACCTGTGTACCTCAGGAACTGAAACTGCGACAAGGATCAAGCTACAGAGTCAACCTATAGTCACATTCACTAAGTAAAACAGCTGGAAAGAAATTCCACCTGAATCTAGATTTGGCAAATTGTTGAATCCAGTCTTAACTTTGAAGTTGGATTTCTGTAGTTCTTAAAACCACTTCAAACCCAGCATCAAAAATAAGGCTGTGTTTACGAACTTTTAAAATTCTGCACGTTCAGCCATGTTATATAAATAAAGTGAATCAAGACCCAGGTGGAATTTCCNTTTTTTGTCAGTATTTACTGTATTTATAAAGATAACTTGATCTTGCTTTTGTACTGATAGCATCAGAGACTTCCTTTCTACTCTTACAAAGAGACTTTCTTAAGTTTTCTCATTGTGTTCTCAAATTACAATTTGCCTTGCTTTTCGTGCAGTGTGACAAAAGATTCTGTAAAAACTGAACAACAGATCTCCACTGTGGACATAATGTTTGTGACTTGTATGTTCTCTCTAACTCCCACTTGCTGTTTCTATTTCCAGTCCGACATTGACAACGATCTTGTTGGAGACTCCTGCGACACAAATCAAGACAGGTATCAGAATTGATCAATTATTGTCAATCAGAGTCAATCAGAATTGGTTAATTATTTCAGTGAGATAACAAACCATCCACACTGAATATAACATTTCTCCTTAGAAACAAAATGCCTGGAACCTGAACTATTATATAGAAAACAATGGTAGCTGGGAGTTTGTTCGAATAACATACTGGACAGATCTTTCCATCACTTATAATGGTCTAAGCATTTGAAAGAGCGCCTATGATATTAAAACGTCTCAAACACTTTCATGGGTAATTGCTGTCAAGTATAGTGACCTTGTAGGCAAATGCATCAGACAGTTTATGGGTAGAGTAATGAATCACAAACTGCCAGGAGGAAAACGACCAATTCATCTGGAAGACTGTTGGAATTGTTGGCCCTAACAGCAGCAAAAATCCCTTCTGTTTTTAAGTAATGTTGTGGAATCTATAGTATCTACATGAAAAACATGTAGGCTGGACCATAGTTTAATTTCTCATCCAACGGTCAGAACCTCCAACAGTGCAGCGCTCCCCCATTCCTCCACTGGAGTGTCAGTTTAGACTATGAGCTCTTGTCTTGATTTGGGGCTTCAACCCACAACATTTGAACCCAGAGGTGAGAGTGCTACCAACTAAGAAGTTGACACCAGTTGATTCTTTCTAACAATAATAATCCTTACATTTGATATAGTGCCTTTGATGTTGTGAGGACGTGTCCAAGCACTTCACAGGATTTATTGTAAAGTGTAGTTATTGTGTATTTTATGAGCAAATGCAGCAGCCAATTTGTACATAGTAATGTCCCCCAAACAGCCATGAAGTGAATGGCCAGTTTTTATTTTGGGATATTATTTGACAGGACACCTAACAGGTAAGGAGGTCCTAGCTCGACAGCCAGTGGGAAGCTTACCAGCCTACTCTCAATAGCAAGCTGAGCGGTTTTAATTAACTTAGCTCACAGGTTTTTAGAAACATTTGGAGATGCCGAGGAGAAATGCAGCTTGTAATAAGATCACCTTCCCTTCCTTGCCTCACTGTCATCGGAGTGTCATTGTATCCTTTATTTGGTCAGCCAGGTCTCTGACGCACAAGGAAACCCAAGACCATTTTTAAAGAGTATCGAAACCAAACAGAGTTCCATGCATCTCACCTCCACATAGAAATTCCAGAGATGCATTGCTTGCCATTGAAAGCACTATCTGACAAGCTATTCCACTGCTTGTTTATTGTGTCTGAGTTGAGAGCATTCAACCCATGGTTCACACCTTACAGTGTATAACTTTAATGTAAGACTCCATAGTTGCATTAAAAATCATTCATTAAGAAAAACCTTTTTTATGAGTCAAAGTTCTGTGGAAAGTTTTGGAGAGCCAGAAAACACAAGGGGAGCCACAATGATGTCATTCTGCCCACCAGCAAATTGTGATCAAACAGCAGTGGTGGTTAAAACAATGAAACGTCAATAGAATGAAGTTTTGTAGTGGTTCAAAGTGGTCATCGGAGTTGACTATCTATGCCACCTACTAAGTGATAACAATTGCTTCCTGGTAAGCTGTTTGTCCCTTTTCATATCCCACCATCTGGCTCTTTTATTTGGAAGCAAGTGTCTTTTGTTTCATTAATTGGTGTTATACTGTGCGGTAGGTGGTAGACTTCACAGAACTAAGGTACAAAAGTTGTAGAATGAAAGCAATTAGCAGACATATTCCCAGTCAATATGTCCTGCTTAAATGTTTTACAGTTCAATGGAATTTTCTCGCAGGATTTGAAATAGTATCAAGAATACACGAAAATGTAGCTAGAATATAATATTGTGTGGGAAAAGAATAAAACAGTCTGCAGATTGCTCTCTAGACAACGTTTTTTGAAAATGAACACTTTATATTTTTAAGGGCAACTTTGGAAATCAATAGCAGCATATGTGGCAGCATTGAAAATTTTGCAGTTCTGTGCTTAGTTGTTAGAGCACTCGCCTCGCTAGTGAGAGGATCTGGGTTTGAGTCCCAGCAGGGCGAAACATTGAGCAAGTTTCTCTGTTTACCTTGCAGTAAGTAGGAACCCATTCGTTAATCAATTGGTGAATAGCTAGGACCACCCTTCCCATTCGGGCTTTGGCGTGCAAGGTTAACAGGAGCTGAGTGGGAGAATTCCCTGCCCCCAATGACTGGTTTGCCCTTCAAAGTCCTGCCGATGAGCCAGCCTGGCTGTGCTGTCATCAGCAGTGCCTGGAGTACAGTGGACTATGAGAATTGGGAAACACATTAACATTCGTTGATGTCCAGTTTATAGAGTAACAGATAAAGATTTTTATTAGTAAAACTTTAACAGACTAAATCAGATGTCAGCTCAGTAGATAGGAAATCTCCGTCAGATTAATCCACACAGTGGAGGAAGGCATCTGAAAAGAAGGAACCACGTAATTGAGGTTATTGTCAGTTTCATTATATTATCTCAATTTGACAGTGATGGAGACGGGCACCAAGACAACAATGACAACTGCCCCACCGTCATCAACAGCTCCCAACTGGACACAGATAAGGATGGGTTCGGAGATGAGTGTGATGATGATGATGATAATGATGGAATTCCAGATGTATTCTTGCCTGGTCCCGATAACTGCAGATTAGTGGCCAACCCAGGACAAGAGGATGACAACAGTGAGTATATGGTCTAGCTCAGAGTATATGGTTTCTTGTAAAAGAAAATCTGAGTATGTAACAAGGCTCAAGCCTTCGGTGATTCAAGCCTTCTCCTTCCAACACGACCTGTACAGGCCTTCAGCTTCTTTGCTCGCACCCTCTGGAACTCCATCCCACAGTCCCTTCACCTCGCTCCCTCCCTTGCCTCCTTCAAGGCACGTCTGAAGACCCTCCTCTTTTACCGTGCCTTTGGTCACCCTCCTACCCCTTCCCCCTCCCCTCCACCCCTCTCGACCCCAACCCCCTGCTCGGGTCCAAATCCCTGAACGTCCAGCAACTGAGAACGTGCTCTTGACGTGAAAGGCGCTATAAAAATTTAACTTGTTGATTAACTTGGGCTCTTGTCATTATGTCTATTCTCTTCGGGGAGCTAAAGGAGCATTGGTAAACATCCAAGAGGATGAACTTTGTAAACTTCTCTTTAACCACTGATCCAATCTTACAGTCTACATTTTTTAATGCTTACTGGTTGGATCACATAGATAACATTCTTGTGGTCCCAATAGGGTTCGACACATAGTATTTATTAGGATTCTTCATTGCCTAAAGTTGTCTATATATGGTAGTTGTCAATCCCATTCTTAACCAGATATTCATCGTTGACGTACTTCCACTTATTGTAAGGAGTTCCCCCCTTGGATTCCTTATTGAAGAATCTCATACCAGACAAAAGGAAACCATACATATGTAGAACTCTCAATAATTTGGTATGGAGACACTTAAGCGTGGTGATGGGTTTGCACATATGTTAAGATACTCGGCTGACCAAAAAAGAAATTGCAACATATTAAAACTCATACAACAACAACAAGATAACATTTGTATAGCGCCTTTCACGTCGGGAGGACATCCCAAGGTGCTGGACAGTGTACAGCATATCAGACCCGAGCTGGGGTCAGGGGGGAGAAGAGAGGGGAGGGGAAGGGGGGTGGCCAATGGCATGGTCGAAGAGGAGGGTCTTGAGGCAGGACTTGAAGGAGGCTAAGGAGGGGGCGAGGCAGAGTGATTGGATGGAATTCAGAGGTTGGGGGCAGAGTGGCTGAAGACTCTCCCACCAATGGTGGAGCAGGTGGGTGGGGGACGTGGAGCAGGCCGGAGCTGGCTGAGCGGAGGGAGCAGGCGGGTTGGTAGGGAGTTAGGAGGTCGCGAGGTCGGGTGGGGCGAGGCCACGGAGGGCTTTGTAGGTGAGGACCAGGATCTTGAACTGGATCCTCTGAAGGATAGGGAGCCAATGGAGTCGGGTGAGAGTGGGATAGATGGAGTCACGAAATTTGGTGCGGGAGAGGACACGGGCTGCAGAGTTCTGGATTATCTGCAGTCTGTGGAGGGAGGAGTTTGGAAGGCCGACAAGCAGGGCATTTGCAAAGTCGAGCCTGGAGGTGATGAAGGCATGAACAAGAGTTTCAGCGGCCTGAGGGGTGAGGTAGTGGCAGAGTCGGGCGATGTTACGGAGAATCTATCTCACATTTATTAGGTTGCAACAGTTAACTACACTGGTTATATACCAGTAAAAACAGCTGCTTGTAAATGTGTATTATGGAATTCATAGAATCTTACACTATAGAAACTGCTGCTGAAACTCTGGAACTCCATCCCCCAGTGCCTTCGCCGCCTCCTTCCTTTCCTCCTTCAAGGCCGGTCTCAAGACCTTTCCCTTTGACCGTGCCTTCAGCTCCCCTCTCGACTCTCTACCCCCTCCTCGCTCCCTCCCTTCCCTCCCCTCACCCTGACCATTTCCCCCTGCTCGGGTCCTGACCCAACTCTACAGCGCCTTGGGACGTCCTCCCGATGTGAAAGGCGCTCAATAAATGGAATCTTGTTGTTGTTGTAGAAGGAGGCCATTCAGCCCATCTTGCCTGTGCCAACTGCCTGAAAAAGTTGGCACAGGCACGATGGGCTGATCTAATTAGTCCCATGCCCCTGTTTTTTCTCCCAAAGTCTTGCAAATGTTTTCTTTTCAAGTACTGTATATATCCAATTCTCTTTTGAAAGTTATCACTGAATCTGCTTCCACCACTTTTTTAGGCAGTGCATTCCTGATCGTAATAACTCGCTGCGTAAAATAAATTCTCCTCGTCTCCCTTCTGGTTCTTTTGACAATTATCTTAAATCTGTTTACACACACTAGAGCTACTACTTGGACTTATTCTAACCCTATGATTTATTTTCAGATGATGGCATTGGAGACATCTGTGAAGGTGATTTTGATCAGGATACAATAATTGACCGAATTGATGTTTGTCCTGAGAATGCAGAAGTGACTCTAACCGATTTCAGAGCGTACCAGACAGTCGTGCTTGATCCTGAAGGAGACGCACAGATTGATCCAAACTGGGTGGTACTCAATCAGGTAAGCATACATTTGATTTACAATAATAATAAATAAAAGCTTTCAATTCACTCGGTAAATTCACTCCAGTGCTGTATTGTGAGCTTCTCTTAATAACACTGATCAAAATCTGTAATAGCCAATTAATTTTTTTGCAGGGTATGGAGATTGTCCAGACTATGAACAGTGATCCTGGTCTTGCAGTTGGTATGTAAAATCTCTCACCAGAACAGAGAGAGACCATTTTATTGTGTATTAATTCACTCATGCAGCATGCATTTGCTGGATAAATGAATGCCTGAATTCCTTTGTGGAGTGACATGAGAAGCTAAGTAGATAGTGGGATTAAAATTGCCCTGAAACAGCCCATTTTGCCACTGGATCTCCTGGTGTCCTGGTCAACAATCATTCAAATAAAATTGTTCACTCACTTCAGGCTGTTTGTGAGACATTGCTTTGCAAAAATTGGCTACAAATTGCAATCACCTACAAATATACAGTCACTTCACTTCATAGTAAAATCCTTTGACGCCGTGAGATGGCATGATATCAAATGCAAGGATTATTATTTTATTATTATGATATATAGTCATCTATTCCCTTCTCCTTCATGTGTGCACCACAAGTACTGTACATGTATAACGTACTTTGGAAAAGGTATTGCTGAGCCATAGGGATTTGCACTCATAGTGTTGAACTTATGTTTCTGCTAAAACACTTTGAAAAACAGTGTTATGATTCAAGCGGGGAAGGGAAATGAGGCAGGGGAATAAATGGGATCAAATTGCTTGCCCAGCAGCTGTATCCATTCTAAGTGTAGGAGGGATGAATGCAAAACAAAAAAGAAAGAGCAGATTTTAATGTGAAGCTTTGAGGAAGGTGATACCCAGCTTGATTTGTAAAAGCCTGTAGATTGTAGGAAGACTGAAAGACTGAAGGAGGTAAGGCATTCCATATTTTTGAAGTGCTGCGAAAGAATGAGTTAGAGATTAATTCCAATCTGTAATGTTCACTAAAGGCACCGTTCCATTGTTGGCATGGGCTAATGTGACATGTAATATGAACTAATGTGTTTGAAATTCTGTTATATTTGAGCAAGGAGAACTATTTTCAGAGCGTACAATGGATTATTGGTGACTGTCTGATGCAAATAAAAGGTGGTGAGTGAATTAACTGGTGGTTCTTGCATCCTGACAGGCTACATTGCCTTCAATGGAGTCGATTTTGAAGGCACTTTCCACGTGAATACGTTAACAGACGATGACTATGCCGGCTTTATATTTGGATATCAGGACAGCTCTAGCTTCTATGTGGTGATGTGGAAACAGACTGAGCAGACCTACTGGCAAGCTACCCCATTCCGTGCTGTAGCTGAGCCTGGCATCCAGCTCAAGGTGAACACAACAATTCTTTAGGTCTTTCTGAGGGGAAATAATTAGAGATTAATGTTCACTAATCATTAAAACTAGCAATCATTTTCACTATGTCTTCACAATGAGATTTCCCATTATGAATATTGTTATGTAAGAGCTCTGAGACACTACCCCAGGTGAAGGGCGCGATATAAATGAAAGTTGTTATTGTTGTTGGCATTTTAGCAATCAAAGTAGAGAGAGATCATTTATTTTGTTAGTTTCCAGGTTACTAATGGAGAACAGTATGTCACAAGTTACATTGTGTGCATTTCTATTTTGTATATTTATGTACATTATTAATATTCTGATTAAGTGAGTGGGAGGTTTTGTAATATTTCAGTTCCACCTTCCTGCTTTTCTCCTACTACTACTACAACAATAACAAAATTACATTTATAGCGCGCCTTTCACGTTGGGAGGACATCCCAAGACGTTGGACTATCAGGGATCAGGACCTGAGCATGGGGGAGGGTAGGGGTGAGGAAAGGCAGAGAGGTGGGAGAGCGACTGAAGTCACGATCGAAGAGCAGGGTCTTGAGACCGACCTTGAAGATGGCAACAGAGGAAGTGAGGCGAAGGGACTGTGAGATGGACTTCCAGAGTGTGGGGACAGAGAGGCTGAAAGCCCGGCCACCCATGGTAGGGCGGGTCGGGCGGGAGACATGGAGCAGGCCAGAGCCCGCTGAACGGAGGGAGCGGGCAAGTTGGTAGGGAGTCAGCAGGTCAGAGAGGTAGGAGGGGCAAGGCCATGGATAGCCTTGAAAGTGAGGACGAAGATCTTGAATTCGATCCTCTGAGGGATGGGGAGCCAGTGGAGTTGGGCGAGGGTGGGAGTGATGGGATCACGGAGTCTGGTCCGTGAGAGTACACGAGCTGCAGAGTTTTGGATGATCTGCAGCTTGTGAAGGGAAGAGTTGGGAAGGCCGATGAGGAGGGAGTTCCCATAATCAAGCCTTGAGGTGACGAATGCATGGGTGAGGGTTTCTGCAGCCTGAGGGGTGAGGCAGTGGCAGAGTCTGGCAATGTTGCGGAGGTGGTGGTAGGCAGTGCCAGTCATGGAGCGGATGTGGGGGAGGAAGGACAGTTCAGGGTCAAACAAGACAGCCAGGTTCCTGACTGGCTTCATGAGGTTGAGTGTGCAGCCATGGATGCTGTTGCTGCCAGCGCCCGAGGTGCGGAGGCGTTGGCGCAAGCCAATCAGGGGTGCCTCGGTCCTGCTGATGTTCAGTTAGAGAAAGTTGTCCCTCGTCCAGGACTTGATGTCGGACAGGCACTCGGTTGGGACACCAGTGGTCCTGGAGTTGAGGGTGGAGGCAGAGAGATAGAGTTGGGTGTCATCCGCATACATGTGGAAATTTACCCCATGTCTGCAGATGATGTCACCAAGGAGGAGCATGCAGAGGGTGAAGAGGAGGGGACCAAGGACAGAGCCCTAAGGAACACCGCACGAGACAGTGGGGGGGGGGGCTGGAGGAGAACAACAACAACCCGAGCAACAACCACAACAACAACAAGATTCCATTTATAAAGCACCTTTCACGTCAGGAGGACGTCCCAAGGCGCTGCACAGTTGGGTCATGACCCGAGCAGGGGGGAAATGGTCAGGGTGAGAGGAGGGAAGGGAGGGAGCGAGGAGGGGGAAGAGAGTCGAGAGGGGAGCTGAAGGCTCGGCAGGGGGGAAATGGTCAGGGTGAGGGGAGGGAAGGGAGGGAGCGAGCGAGGAGGGGGTAGAGAGTCAAGAGGGGAGCTGAAGGCACGGTCAAAGAGAAAGGTCTTGAGACCGGCCTTGAAGGAGGAAAGGGAGGGAGCGAAGGCACTGAGGGATGGAGTTCCAGAGCCTAGGGGCTGAGAGGCTGAAGGCCCGGCCACCGATGGTAGGGCGGGTAGGGCGGGGGATGTGGAGCAGAATGGAGCCAGAGGAATGGAGGGTACGGGCAGCTAAGTAGGGGGATAGTAGGTCGGAGAGGTAGGAGGGAGCAAGGCCGTGAATGGTCTTGTAGGTGAGGATGAGGGTCTTGAATTCGATCCTCTGGCGGATGGGGAGCCAGTGGAGGCGAGTGAGGGTGAGAGTGATGTGGTCGCGAAGCCTGGTGCGGGACAGTACACGAGCTGCAGAGTTCTGAATGACCTGCAGCTTGTGGAGGGAGGTGCCGGGAAGGCCGGCGAAGAGAGAGTTCCCATAGTCCAGCCTTGAGGTGATAAAGGCGTGGACCAGAATTTCAGCAACTCTGGTTGCTGTTTGCAAAGAAGTCGTTTGCAGAGACGAAGTGGAGGTGGCGTGAAAGATAGGACCTGAACCAGTCAATGACAGAAGCTTGAAGGTTGAGGTGGGAGGAGAAGCGGTGGAGGAGGATTGAATGGCCCACAGTATCAAAGGTGGAGGAGAGGTCGATGAGGATGAGGCGGCAGAGGGAGCCCTGGTCACACATGGTCACAATGTCATATGTGACCTTGACCAGAGCAGTTTTCATGCTGTGGGCAGAACGGAAACCCAATTGGAGGGGCTCATGGATGGAGTGGGAGGAGAGGAAAGAGCAAAGCTGGGAGGCGAAGGCTGTCTCAAGGACCTTTAACAGAAAAGGGAGGTGGGAGATGGGCCAGTAGCTGGATAGCTGTGATGGGTCAAGGGAAGGTTTCTTCAAGGTGGGGGTTATAGTGGCTGTTTTGAGGGAGGTAGGAACAATGCCAGAAAACAGGGATAAAGTGATGATGTCAGCGAGTAGTGGGGCAAGGAGGTGGAGCTGGGATTTAAGGAGAGGGGTGGGGGTGGGGTCCAGGGAGCAGGTGGTGATCTTCATGGAGGTTATGGTGGTGATGACAGAGGAGGCGGCACACCCATCCCCTTTGTGTCAACACACTTGTCTGGGCCACAGATGTCTGCAAAGGCATTAAGCAGTCAGTTTCTGTGTTTTCCATAATATCGATACTCTGGGCCATACTTTCCTACGCATGACTGTCTCCCAATTTGGTGAATGGGCAGCCTCCAAGCTCGCTCGCAGTTAGCTGGCAAGAGAATCACAGTCCAGTAAACCTTCAGCAATCAATCTTCCTCCAAAGGGGCAGATCTCTGGCATCTCGAAGTGCCAAATCTGGCAACGTGTCTGAAAGCTAGTCACACTTAGTCATTAAAGAAGGTACACTGTGTGAATTGTAAATGCCAGTGGAAGCTGATTCTTAGATCTTGCAAATGAGGAAGAAAAGAGAGGGAGGGAGGGGAGCAAGAGCCATCAAGGTCTTACAAACAGTTATGAACTAAATATCCTTTTAAATCTGAAGGATTGATAGCCAGGACACTGGGGAAAATCCCCTTCTGAACAGTCAATTTGGACCTTGGTTTGATATCTCATCCAAAGATATATCTCCCAACAATGCAGTGTTCCCCTATTACTGCACTGGTTCACTAGTATCAGCCTACACTAAAAGCTCAAGTCTTAACTTGCACCCCAAAGGGAATCATATATCAATCCCATTGATAACATTGTGGTAGAGGTATTTGCTTTTTAATGCTATAAAGTTTAAGGTTGACATTTCAAAAATGTTTTGATTTCCTATTGTAACTAATGTTTAACGTACCACTTGTCAATTTCCTTTCCTTGTGGATCCTATAGGCAGTCAAGTCAAAAACTGGTCCAGGTGAACATCTGCGGAATGCTCTCTGGCACACTGGAGACACCACAGACCAGGTCAGGCTACTGTGGAAAGATCCCAGGAATGTAGGCTGGAAAGACAAAGTCTCTTATCGTTGGTTCTTGCAGCATAGGCCCCAGGTTGGATACATCAGGTAAAGTGAGAATTATTGCACTGTACTCGGGTATCAGATTTGGCCTTTTTAACACAAGTCTTGTTTTCATCAAACATTACACTCCAATATGATGGAGTTTTTCTCCATGTGATCCCACTAATCTAATTCCACTCTTCTGCTCACTCCCCATATTCTTTAGTATTCATATTTCCCAAACATCTAGCCTATTCCCATTTAAAATAATTTAAAATTTTAATTTATCTTCATAAAATACAGTGACTGCACTTTACTTTGAATACTGTGAAGTATTTTGAGACATCCTCCCAACATTAAAGGTGCTGTATCAAATGTGAGGATTATTGTTATTAATTTATGACCCCTGCTTCAATGATATTTTGTGACAGAGAAATGCACATTCCAACTATTCTTCATATTAAGATTTTTTAACTTCCCTTTAATTCTTTTTGTCATCATCTATTTCTTTTTGTGATTATTAAATATATGACATGGCTTAATACAAAACAATTTACACTTATATAGCACAAAGGATAACTTCTTAAGTCCTTTACAGCATTCATAGGATCACAAGAGAGGTTTCAATGAAGAAATCCTGTTGAGTCATTTGATCTCATCTTCCCAGATGATCTCATCTTCCCTCCTGTCCTCCCATTTTAACATCAAGCTGTTTTATTTTAATGAGTCTGGCCTCAATCATCCTTCTTGGCAACTTATTCCAGTCATTAATAACCCACTGCATAAAGAATTTTTCCATGGTGTCTGTCCTGAAATTGACATTTACAGAACAAGAGTAAGCTGTGGCCTCTTGTTCTGCTGTCTCAGTGCATTTGATAACATTGTTCATGTTTTACTTTGCAAATTCCATTTAAATACCAATAAGATCCCCTCTATGACATTTCTTTTGAAGACTGATGAGCCTTAGCCTGTCTAATAGTTGCACATAGCTCATTCCTCTGCCATTGGGGTTCATTACCATAGCTTTAATCCGGACTGGAACCAGGGCCCAGGCAGCTCCCTTATGTCGTGGGAACAGGAATTGTACTCAGTACTCGAGTTACTCTGTGCACAGAGCACTGTACAGCTTGATATGGAGATTTAAACTCAACTCATTTGGCAATACTGTACCAGCCAACATCCTGTTTGTGTTGTTTGTTACTACATCACACTATTAATAAAGTTAGACTTATTAGCCATCTTCTATAAGTTCCTTTCAGAGATTACATCATGTGTGAATTTTACAGCTGTTTGACAACTGGCAGTTCCATTTACAGTGATTTGCTGGCCACTGTCTGGATGGAATCTGTAGTCAGCTCTGGGTTGCCTTGCTTTCCTCATTGTTGATTATACATTCAATAAAAGTGCTCATCAGTCTTGAAGTATTTGAAACCTTCAGCTAGATTACAAAGTTTGGAAAGTAGAAATAAAAATTCCACTAGTTCGATCTTATTCATAATACTAATAATAATCCTTAAATAGTACCTAATCATGTCATCAAAATGTCTCAAAGCACTTCACAGGATTTGCTGCAGAATGTATTGGCTGTAAGGAACTTTCTGGCTTCTCCACAAAGGCAGTGCCTCATTGAATGAGATTAACAGGCTGTTTCTTAAACTATACACAACAGCCGGAAACTGTTTGTGCAGAGCACCCACACACTGTTTGTCGACTCGAGTAAAGCTACAGTACATCAAGTCATCATGGTAACGGGTTTAAGCCAGTTCATGTTGCAGGATGTGATATTGTCACTGCCGCAGGTTTGATGCAGTATTGCGTACAGACAGTAAAAGCTTTCTGAATCACAGGAAAATGAGCTAACAGCAAGAGTAACTCTTTTGGTGTGTGCACATCATGTCAAAGTGAGTAATCTACTAACCTTACGATGCCTTCAGACTGGAAATACAATGACATACTTAAAACCTTCAGCTTTTGAAGATTGAACATTTCTGCGCTGTCACCTTCCATGGAGTCCTGTAGCTCAGTGGTTAGAGCACTCTCTTTGCAAGCGAGACACCTGGGTTCGATTCCTGGCATGGCGAAACCTTGGGCAAGTTTCCTTACTCCACACACCTAATAATAATCCCTCAAAATAAAATAATAAATTGGTCGTTTCAATCCACGACTGTTTGTGGGACACTGCTGTGCGCAATCGGCTGCCACGTTTCACCCACAAATATACAGTCAATTCACTTTACAGTATATTCTGTGAAGCGCTTTGAGACGTCTAGAAGACGTGAAAAGCGCTATATCAAATGCAAGGATTATTATTATTATTATTATTGGTATCAAAACCCAGTCCATTAAAGTCATTCATAAGAACATAAGAATTAGGAGCAGGCCATTCGGCCCCTCGAGCCTACCCCGCCATTCAATAAGATCATGGCTGATTTATTCTAACTCCACCTACCTGCCTTATCCCCATATCCCTTAATCCCTTTATCTACAAGAAATCTATCAATCTCAATCTTGAATATGTTCAAGGACTGAGCACCTACAGCCCTTTGGGGTAGAGAATTCCATAAATTCACTACCCTCTGAGTGAAGGAGTTTTTCCTTAACTCAGTGCAAAAGAGCTTACCCCAAATTTTAAGACTGTGATCCCTAGTTATAGTTTCTCCAAACAGGGGAAAAAGTCTCCCGCTATCTATTCTGTCGTGCCCCTTAATATTCTTATAGGTTTCTATAAGATCAGCTCCCATTCTTCTATATTCTAAAGAATATAGGCCTAAATTGCTCAACCTATCCTCATAACTCATCCCCCTCATCCCTGGTACCAACCTAGTGAATCTAAGCTGTACCCCCTTCAAGGCGAGTACATCCTTTCTTAAATAATGAGACCAAAACTGCACACAATATTCTAGGTGCGGTCTCACCAAGGCCCTATACAGTTGCAGCAAGACTTCCCTACTCTTGTACTCTAAACCTTTTGCAATGAACGCTAACATGCCGTTCGCCTTCTTAGTTGCTTGCTGCACCTGCAGACTAACTTTTTGAGACTGATGTACAAGGACACCCAAATCCCCCTGAACACTAACACTGTCTAATCTCTCCCCTTCTCGAAAATAATTTGTTTTTCTATCTTTTCTACCTAGGTGAATAACTTCACACTTCCCCACATTAAATTCCATCTGCCACCAACTCGCCCACTCCCCAAGCCTATCTATAACCTGTTGCAATCTTTTTGCATCATCCTCAGAGCTTACTCTCCCACCTAGTTTAGTGTCATCCGCGAATTTAGATACGTTACACTCAATGTCCTCGTCTAGATCATTGATGTAAATTGTAAATAGTTGAGGCCCAAGCACTGATCCTTGTGGCACTCCCTCCACTAGTCACATCCTGCCAATTCGAGAATGACCCGATTATCCCTACTCTCTGTTTTCTACCCGTTAGCTACTCTTCAATCCATGCTAATATGTTCCCATTAATCCTGTGGGCCTTAACCTTGTGCAATAGCCTTTTGTGTGGCACTTTGTCAAATGCCTTCTTAAAATCTAAATATGCAACATCTACTGGTTCCCCCCTATCTAACCTACTAGATACATCTTCAAAAAACTCTAAAAGATTAGTTAAGCATGACTTCCCTTTTGTAAAGCCATGTTGACTCTGCCTAATTTTGTTATGGTCCTCCAGGAATCCGATAACGACATCCTTAATTAAGGACTCAAGAATTTTCCCTAACACTGATGTCAGACTAACTGGTCTATAGTTCCCCATCTTTTCTCTCCCACCCTTCTTAAATAGTGGTGTGATGTTTGTGATCTTCCAATCAATGGGAACCGTTCCAGAATCCAAAGAATTTTGGAAGATCAGACACAAGGCCTCCACTATCTCATGAGCTACCTCTTTTAAAACCCTAGGATGCAAACCATCAGGTCCAGGGGACTTGTCACTTTTTAATACCAACAATTTCCCTAGCACCAATTCTTTGCTAATGTAAATTTCCCTTAGTTGCTCTCTATCATTAGCCCCTTGGTTCATCTCTATTTCTGGTAAACTTCTTGTGTCTTCTAATGTAAAGACAGAAGCAAAGTATTTATTTAGGGACTCTGCCAATCCTTATCCCCCATTATAATTCCTCCTGTCTCTGCCTGTAATGGACCCACCTTTACTTTTGCTAGCCTATTAATTATTATTATTAATTAATTAATGTATTTATAAAAACTCTTACAATCTGTCTTAATGTTCCTAGCTAGCTTGCCCTCATAAGCCATTTTCTCACTCTTAATGAGCTTTTTGGTTTTCCTTTGTTGGTCCCTCAAACACTCCCAGTCCTCAGGTTTGCTAGTCTTTTTGGCAGTTTTGTAGGCCTTTTCTTTTAGTTGTATATGTTCTCTGACTGCTCTAGTTAACCACGGATGAACTGTTTTCCCTGTGGTACTCTTATTCCCCAAGGGAATATGTGACTGCTGAGAATTTTGCACTACATCTTTAAACGTCTGCCACTGTTGGTCTATTGTCATATAATCCTTGCATTTGATATAATGCTTTTCATGTCTTCTTGATGTCTCAAAGTGCTTCACAGAATATGCTGCAAAGTGAATTGATTGTATATTTGTGAGCGAAACGCGCCAGCCAATTGCACACAGCAGTGTCCCACAAACAGTCGTGGATTGAAAATGACCAATTTATTATTGTTTTTTGGAAGGATTATTATCCATTAATCTAACTTAATCTAATCTAATTATTTTCCGTTATTCTAATTAGATTAATATTCATTAATCTAATTCCCCAGTCTAATTTAGCTAACTCTTCCCTCATACCTGCAATGTTAGCTTTATTTAAATTTAAGACCTTTGCTTCGGATTTGACTACATCGCTCTCTAACTTAATACTAAATTCTATCATGTTATGATCACTCTGCTCTAGAGGAGCCTTAATATCTTATTTATTGCAATTACCGACTAGCCCTGTTTCGTTACACAAAACAAGGTCTAGGACAGCCTGTTCCCTAGTTGGTTCCTCAGCATACTGCTCCAGAAAGCTATCTCTCATACATTCTATAAACTCCTTCTCTACCCTACTTTTGCCGACTTGGTTTTCCCAATCTATGTGAAGACTGAAATCACCCCTATTACTGTATTACCTTTGCTACATGCTCCTCTAGTTTCTTGATTGATACCCTGCTCTATGCTGTGATCAATGTTTGGGGGTTTATAAACTACTCCCACTAATGTTTTCTGCCCCTTGTTATTTCATAATTCTACCCATACCGTCTCTACATCCTGGTTATCTGATTTGAAATCCTTCCTCTCTACTGTTCTTATTCCATCTTTTATTAACAAGGCTACCCCCCCCCCCCACCCCCACCACACCCCATCCCCACCTTATTTTCCACATTGTCTATCCTTCTATAAACTGAAAACCCCAGAATATTTAACTCCCACCCTAGATCTCCCTGAACCATGTCTCAGTAATGGTTACTAGATCATACCTGTTTGTATCTATCTGTGCCTTTAATTCATCTATCTTATTCCAAATGCTTTGTGCATTCATGTACGTTTGTTATTCTGGTTCTGTTCTGTACCACATGGCACTCTCAATTTACTGCCCCATCTCCAACCTCCCTTTCCAAGGTCCTGGAACTAGTTGTTGCTTCCCAGCTTCGTTCCTTCCTCTCCCACCACTCCCTTCACAAACCCCTCCAATCGGATTTCCGTGCTGCCCACAGCACAGAAACAGCTTTGGTCAAAGTGATAAATGGCATTTTGTCCTTCATTAGATACATTTTGTTATTATTTATTAATTTTATTATAATTACTATTAATGTCTAAGAATAGGAATACCCCTTTTCTGAAGGTGAACTTGGTGTGAGCTTGCATCCGACCATTCATTGGGACGGCATTAATCTGGTTGTGGACCATGCAGTTATGTTTAACTCAGCTGTTTTTTTTATACAGGGCAAGGTTTTACGAAGGCTCGGATCTTGTGGCAGATTCAGGAGTTACTATAGACACCACCATGCGAGGAGGACGGCTTGGGGTCTTCTGTTTCTCCCAGGAAAATATCATCTGGTCCAATTTGAAATATCGTTGCAATGGTAAGGAAACACTACCCAGTATCTCACCCAACACAGACACAAAAGATCTGTTAATCTCTTTGGAATAAAATTAATACAAATACTTGAATAGATTTTGGGAAAGTCATAAGGCCCAAAATATTATATGTTCTTAGCCTCAATGCCCAATGTCTTACAAAGTTACAATTCTGCAGCATTTCAGGAAAATTCTTCCCTGTTTTAGTTAAGCCAGCTGTTTGGAGATGCGTGTCACTCATTTTTTTTGGAACACACGTTTTTGCTGGGAGGTGGGAGGACAGCACTGTGACTGGCTCAGTCAATCTAACTGTGCTAAAAAAGCCTACTGGCTCATAAATAGAAACAGATTTGTTTCTTCACATGAACCAGAAACATGTGTAGTTAAGTGCAGCTACTGAGCCCAAGCTGAATGCGTTTGTACCAAGCAAAATTTTCTCGCTGGGAACAAGCAGGACTGACATTGGGTAGGGTGGAGAAATAGGGATTTGTAATTATAAGGTGAATTTCCCAGCAAAGCTATAAGAAATTGATGTAAAGTGATATTAAAGTGAAATGTTAGACGTTGGAATGAGAAGAAATGTTAAATATTAGCTTGAATAAGTTGTAGCAATACAAAATTAATTCACATTTATATAGGGCCTTTCACGAAAGACAATGTCTCAAAATGTTTAGTAAAGTAGGATAGGCACCTAAGCTGGTGGTAGGAATCGAAGGTGTGGGAAGGGGAAAGATGACAAATACATGATCAGGGTGGTAAGTCTTGAGACATACCTTGACAGAGGTAAGGAAGGGAAGAAGTCAGAGGGGCTCCGGTATGGCGTTCTGGAGAGCGGAGGCAGAATAGCTGAAGGCCTGATTGTGAGGCAAATAGGGTCAGGCGGGAGGTGGAGTGGGGGAACATGAAGCAGGCTGGTGTTTGCTTAGTGAAGGGAGAGCTGGCTTGGTAGGCTTGAAGGAAGTTGTAGAGGCAGGGTGGGGCAGGACCATGGAGGGATTTGAAGGTGAGAACGAGGACGTGGAATTTGCAGTGGAGGAAAGGAGGGAAAGAGGGAGTGACAGAAGGAAGGAGGGAAGAGGGGGAACTGCACCCAAGAAATTTTTCAACAACTGAAATCTTTCATTAATTGATTTTATTTTGTTTGTTTTTTAAATAGTGTTGATCGTTTATTTATCTGATCTTCTCCCCCATTGCCACTTGCCTCTCTGTGCCTGGTCTGGCCCCTGCCTGCCGGAAGATTGTTCCACAGGCGCTAATTGCCCTCCATTACCTGCCAAAGTGGCCATTGCTCATGTATGAAGTGTGGTAGTGAATGTCAGCAGGGATCAGGGCCTGACCCCTCCCCACACGGCTGCCATGCACAGCACAATTAACGGAGGCTGCTGAAGAGGCACCAGGAGCAGGATGCCTGGCTGATTTTGCCCTCCCTAACTCTGGGAAGGCAAGGACCAATTTAGTCTTCCCAATTCAGACCATGTTTCGAACAAGTGAGCTCCTGGTCTGTAAGCTGCAGTTCTGTTCAATGCACTATTTATAATGGGGCTGCCCCATCTTTATTAAATTCATTCAAATTTACCTGGTCTTATGAGTTGATAAGAGGCACCTCTCGCTGAGAAAGGGAGTGTTATGAATTTGAATCGTCGATATTCCTAGTTCCACTTACAATTGTGAAATGAAGGCCTTCCCAGATCAAATACACAGTGCCAAACAAGAACCAAAGCTGCCAAGTTACTCCCACCCTTGGAAGCACCCAGCTTTGGTGTCACAAGCCAGTGGACAGCATTAATGTCCAGTTGATCTACATTATACAATACAAAATTACATTTGCAAAGTGCCTTTCACAACAGGAGGACAACCCAAGGCACTGGACAGTCAAGGATTTGGACCCAAGCAGGAGGATTGGGATCAGGGAGGGTGGAGGGCAGGGAGGGTAGGAGCGTGGCTGAAGGCACGATTGAAGAGGAGAGTATTGAGATGTGCCTTGAAGGAGGCAAGGGAGGGAGACAGTTGAAGTGAATGTGGGATGGGGTTCCAAACGATAGGGGCAGAGAGACATGGAGCTGGCCACAGCCTGCTGAGGGGAGGGAGCAGACAGATTGATATGGGATTAGCAGTTCACAGAGGTAGGAGGGAGCAAGGCCGTGACGGGCCTTGAAGGTACGGATGAGGATTTTGAACTCTAGCCTCTGGGGCATGCGGAACAAGTGGAGCCGGGTGAGGGTGGAGGTGATAGTGTCACAGAGCCTGGTGCAGGAGAGGACATGAGCTGAAGAGTTCCGAATGATCTGCAGCTTGTGGAGGGAAGAGTTGGAAAGGCCGACAAGCAGGGAGTTGGCATAGTTGAGCCTAGGTGTGATGAACGCGTGAATGAGGGCTTTGGCAGCCTGAGGGGTGAGGCAATGGCAGAGCCAGGTGATGTTGCGGAGGTGGGGGAAGGCATGGCACGGATGTGGTGTAGAAAAGACAGTTTTGAGGGTCAAACAAGATGCCAAGGTTCCAGACTGGCTTAGTAAGGTAGAGTATGCATATATTGATGGATTATGAATTTATTTTGTTGAGCCTTAGATTAACACTCAAGATCTTTCTTTCAGACACCATTCCTGAGGATTTTCAGGAATTCCGGGCCCAGCAATTGTAGCCAGCTCCTCGAGAATGGAAAGACTGTAGAGAATTCCATGTGGAGCGAATCCAGAGAGAATGAAGAAATGAAAAGCAGCTGTGAAAGGAAAAAAAAAACTTGTGTTCGCCAAGTAATGGATACAAAAGTTATCTAATGGAATTGTACTTATGGCAGTCAGATTGACACCTGCAGTAATAAGAATTACAATAAAATATTTGGAAAGGCCGTGTTTGACATCTCAGTGTATCAGAGATTGTGTGAATGTATTATGAACACCGAAAATGTTAGAGGGAGAAATTGCACCTACTCCAGTTACGTAGCATTTCAGAGTGTCCAGCATTAGACAAGAGCGACAGCCAATTTCCACACAGCAATATCTCATAAACAGCTACAAAGTGAATGACTAATTTTTTGTCGGGAGATTGTTGGCCAGGATACTAGGGGAGACTCTGCTTTCAAATTTGACTACTTTTCATCCAGCTGAACAGGCAGACAGGACCTCAATTTAACTTCTCAACTCCTAAAACAGAAGAAACATCGGGTGTAACTTGCAATAGTTGAAACCAAATTTGTGAACAGTGAATCCGGCTGGTATCTGCCTGTATCGGACTGGAATTCTACTCATATGCTAATCTTGGATTAGATTTCAGTAGATCTGGGAGGTAGATCCCCGTCAGAGTGTAGTTTCAAATTTGCAATTTACAGGTTGATTTGACACTATCGTAAATTAAACCTTTTGGCTGAATCTTTTGAAAATGATCTTTAATATTGATTCTTCATAAATCTTGAGTTTCTTTTCAGCTGATTTAAAATATGATTGTTATTGTCTTGTTTCCCATCTACCTGCTTCCTTACTTGCTTTAGCCTTTTCCTTTCCCTCTGGTACTTTCTGAATCTCTGCCTTGAATCTGTATTGGACCATAATTTAAGCCTTTATCTGAATCCACAGTACCATGCTCACTGTTACACATCAAAAGTAAATTATATAGATTGGGTTGGATTTAAATCCTACCACAAGCTCTGTGAGTCCAACAAGAAAACATTTCAATCTCTTGATTATAGTGGTACTGGAAGCATTGTAGGAAGAAGGATTTGGGAAGATCAGACAATAAGCTTTACTGTCTTGGATTATTATTAATCATAATATTAAAAAATATTGCATTTGATATAGCGCCTTTCAAGTTGGGAGGATGCCTTAAATCACTTCATAGGATTTGTAAAGTGTAGCATTTGTATAAATTTAGGTTAATAACTTTTTTACAACCACAAACAGCTAAATTTACTAACTGCCTATAAGATTAAAATTGGAAACTCTGAGGAGGGATAGGATAGGAATTGATATCAAACTAAATATCTCACTCTCCGCATAATCAAAAAGACACTGCCAGCAAATGTGCCGTGAATTCTCTACCACCTGTTTCTCAGCCTATCCTGGAAGACAGATTTAAATACCCACCACAACAAATTGCTGGTTTGTTGATATGGTTCGATGTAAGGACGTAACTGATGCACTGATGGTAGAGCCACTCCAATGCAGTCCTGCATTATCAGATGTGCTGTCCTTTGGATGAGATGTTAAACTGAGGTACCATCTGCTTGTTCAGGGGGACATTTAAGGATCTCACACCTTCTATTCAAAAGGAGAAGGAAGTTTTTCCTGATTTCCTGGCCACCACTCCCTCAAAGAAAATTGGGCATTCACTTTATGGCCTTTTCTAACATTGCTGTGCAGTAAAATTCTGTGAAGTACTTTAAGGTGTCTCAATGATGTGATAAGGCAAGTTTCCTTATTCCACATGCCTGTGGAGTCCTGTAGCTCAGTGGTTAGAGCACTCGCTTTGCAAGCGAGAGACCTGGGTTCAATTCCAGGCAGGGCGAAACCTTGGGCAAGTTTCCTTACTCCACACACCTAATAATAATCCCTCCAAAACCAAAAACAATAATAAATTGGTCATTTTCAATCTACGACAGTTTGTGGGACATTGCCGTGCGCAATTGGCTGCTGCGTTCGCCCACAAATATACAGTCAATTCACTTTACAGTGTGTTCTATGAAGTGCTTTGGGACGTCCTCCCGACGTGAAAAGCGCTATATCAAATGCAAGGATTATTATTATTATTGAGGCACTAAATCAAGAGCAAGGATTATCATAACCTTGAAGTAAGATGTTTGAATGCAGGACAGTCAAAAAAGTAACTTCAGCAAAGCCGAACCATATTCCAGTACCATATTCTAATGTATATTCTAGTGTTTACAAGCAGGTTGAATACTACCTGAACAAAAGACATTACAGCCTTTGATGTAGAAAATGTAAATACAGAGTGCAGCTTATTCTCAGCTGAGTGTCTCAACTTGTGGGATGTGCACACTACATAATAATAATAATAATAATCCTTGCATTTGATATAGCGCTTTTCACGTCGGGAGGACGTCCCAAACCTCTTCACAGAAGACACTGTAAAGTGAATTGACTGCATATTTGTGGGCGAACGCGGCAGCCAATTGCGCAAAGAAATGTCCCACAAACAGTCGTAGATTGAAAATGACCAATTTATTATTGTTTTTGGTTTTGGAGGGATTATTATTAGGCTCTGTGTGGAGTAAGGAAACTTGCCCAAGGTTTCGCCCTGACCTGGAATTGAACTCAGGTCTCTCGCTTGCAAATAACAGAACAAACTCAATAAATCACACAAGAGGGTGGGCTGTAAAATGGAATTCACTGCCACTGCCCATTGTTGGAACTAGAGACAAATTATTTTAAAAGGAAATTAGATGCTTGAAGCTACAGCCTTTCCTTTAACAACAAAATTACGTTTATATAGCGCCTTTCATGTCAGGAGGACATCCCAAGGTGCTGGACAGTCAGGGATCAGGACCCAAGCATGGGGGATGGGTGAGGGACGGCAGAGAGGTGGGAGGGCGACTGAAGGCATGATCGAAGAGGAGGGTCTTGAGACCGGACTTGAAGGAGGCAAGGGAGGAAGCGAGATGAAGGGATGGTGGCATGGAGTTCCAGAGTGTGGGGACAGAGAGGCTGAAAGACCGGCTACCGATGGTAGGGCGGGTCGGGCGGAACATGGAGCAGACCGGAGCCCGCTGAACAGAGTGAGAGGGCAGGTTGGTAGGGAATCAGCAGGTAAGAGAGGTAGGAGGATGGCCTTGAAAGTGAGGATGAGGATCTTGAATTCGATCCTCTGGGGGATGGGGAGCCAGTGGAGTTGGGCGAGGGTGGGAGTGATGGGGTCACGGAGCCTGGTGCGTGAGAGTACACGAGCTGCAGAGTTTTGGATGATCTGCAGCTTGGGAAGGGAAGAGTTGGGAAGGCTGATGAGGAGGGAGTTTCCATAAGCAAGCCTTGAGGTGCCGAATGCGTGGGTGAGGCAGTGGCGGAGTCTGGCAATATTGCGGAGGTGGTGGTAGGCAGTGCCCGTCATAGCACGGATGTGGGGGAGAAAGCACAGTTCAGGGTCAAACAAGATACCCAGATTCCTGACTGGCTTAGTGAGGTTGAGTGTGCAGCCGTGGAGGATGCTGCCAGCGCCCGAGGTGCGGAGGCGCTGCGCGAGCCAATCAGGGGTCCCTCGTCCAGGACTTGATGTCGGACAGACAGTCGGTCTGGACACCAGTGGTCCTGGAGTTGAGGGTGGCGACAGAGAGATAAGAGTTGGGTGTCATCCGCATACATGTGGAAATTTACCCCATGTCTGTGGATGATGTCACCAAGGGGGAGCATGTAGAGGATGAAGAGGAGGGGACCGAGGACAGAGCTCGAGACGGTGCAGGGGCTGGAGGATAAGCCGTTTGCAGAGACGGCGTGGAGGTGGTGTGAAAGGTAGGACCTGAACCAGTCAAGGGCAGAACCTTGAAGTTCGAGGTGGGAGGAGAGGCAGTGGAGGAGGATTGAATGGTCCACAATATCACCCCTGTCTCCCAGCATCTTTGGACATCCTCCCAACGTGAAAGGGGCTATACAAATGTGATTTTGTTGTTGTCTTATAATCAGGCAACTATACAAAGTATAAGTTGTACAAACTGTACAAGGTGTAAATCTAAACGGAGGAGGGTGGGAGAAATAAAACAATTGAACCGTATAGAAATATTCAATTAATTAATACCTGAGTTGAAGAGGTTAAGCCACGATGAGAGCCCGGGTAGAGCAGAAGATTAAGTGTAATTTAAGTATTTAAAATAATGAAAGGAATTCACAGGTTAAGATAACGGACAATTTTCCCTTCTAGTAGCGGGATCCATTCCAAGAGGATGTAGCTTTAAAATCAGAACTAAGGCAGTTAGAACTGAAGTCAGCCAGCATTGCTTATAAATATAGTAAAATTGCGTGAAACATTTTGAGATGACCTCCCAATGTTAAAGGTCCTATTTGCATTATTTCTTCACAGAGAGTTGTGAAGATGTGGAATGCTCTGTCCCAGGAAGATATAAATGAAAAATCAAAGGGATTTTAAGAGATAGACAGAGTATAATAAATATACCAGGCTGCAAGTCAAGTGAATCAGCTAGCTGTTAACATGATTAGGTCTTATGTTAATTGGTGATCCATTAGAGAACATCGAAACCCTGGTTAGAGACAATTGGATCAAGCTTACAGGGCAGTCTCCTGTGCAACCAATTCTCTCTTCATTTGTGCCAAATTGTAGTCAAAGACTTTTAATCTGAAGTAAATTATATGGAATATAATCAATTACATTCAATTACATCAGCAGATGAACTGCACATTTTATTCTGAATGAAGTGAGTTGGTTACAAGCATGAACAAGGGCCCTGGTTTTATTATTCAGTCTATGTTTCTCACCGATTGGTCCAGATTTCTCTTTTAGCAACTACAAGAGATTACAAAGAAATCCTACAGCAAGTGTACTTGGATAGGTCAAGTGACAATTTTCTGGTTTAGGCTAATTGTAGTAATTCATTTTAAAAAATCTTTGTAATTGATAGAGCCTTATTGTGTTGTCAAAATCTTTCAAAGCATTTCACAGGACTTACTGTTAAGTGTAGAGACTGTATTTATAGGTGAATAGATGTCCCTAGAGACAAAGCACTCTGGAATGGTACCCAGCATGAGGAGCTTAATATAAATGCAAATTGTTTTTGTTGTAATGTGGTAGTCAACTGCAGGAGTGTAAATATTCTTTGGGTACAAATGCAATAGAAATCCCCAAATTGAAGCAAATAACCCCAAATTACATGCAACTGCAAAGCGATACAGGCATCACTGTAAAGAGTTTTGAGAGTAGCAGTCACCAGTCTTGTTTAAGGCATGGATCACTGCAGTGCAATATGTGGAGACGACCTAACTCTTTAAAACAACTTTTACTGCTAGAATCAATATTAAATTTCCTCAACTGCCTCTTCAGAGAACACTTGCATCATACACCGTGTCAGTGCAAAGCAGAAAAATTGGCAATAAAACCTTGCTTTTATAGAGAGAGTTACCTTCTGATAACTAGTCCCATTACTTTCCTTATGGCATGTGCATGAAATAGATAGACAGCAACAGTATTAAAAATTGAGAGAATAGGGTTTGGGGATTGAAAATTCCAACACAATGTAAAAAAATTGTGGTACTGGTTCGATGGACTGAATGGTGTTCTCCTGTTTTTCAATGTTGCTGTGACAGATGGACAGAGTAAAAAACAAAGGTGCTATCTGGATTTAGGGAGCGATGCTGAAATTGATGGGAGGAACTATTGCATATTTGCTGATATGAGTTAGAAATCCCTCCTCTACTTACCACAGAGATATTTAGAGTTTTGGACATAGACCAAAAATCAGAGGGGAGAATATTTTGTCCTATAGACTGAATGGGAGTGGAGATGGAGTGTGTAACTTTCTCTGAATTCAGTGTTCATCTAGCACTCTACTTCCTTCATTAATTAAAGTAATCAACTTACGTTGATAAGTAATGACCTAAAAAATAAATTCCCACATCAGCCACCAATGCAAATAACATTTTGTACATTTTGATCGTGCACAATTCAAATATGAGGTTCAAAAAATGAATGTCAATTTATTGAACTTTTTTTTAATACAAACAATGCAGGTCCATCAGTTAGAATGAGCCAGTAAAGCAACATTATACTGGAAGATGTAGTTATATATATAATATATATAAAAAACAATTTTACATCAGAATAGTTCAAGTGGAATTTTACTGTGTCTGATTAGCAATAGCCAATATAGGAGATACAGTATATGAAAAGACTGGTGTTTTGAAACAATTATAACATTTATCCAGTTAACATTTTGTGGAGTTTACTTCAACTTAAGGTACGAGGGGAGAGAGAAAATCAGATGACAGAATAGGTTGTAGTACATTATATAAAAAAATCACCTGCAATCCAGAAATGGAATAAAGTTTCCACCATAAATTAGTTCAGGCAATTTTAAGGAAGACTTGAATTCCTAACGATAAAACACTCAAAACACATAAATTAAACTACTTTTTTTTTAAAAAAGGTGCCGTAAAACTTTTTTAATATAGGATTCCTGTAGTAGTACAATATATTCTTGCAGAAGGAGAAGAGCAAGGTACAAAAGAACTGGTGCGAGAGTGTTATAAAAATACTGCATACAATTGCCCTTTATTAAATAAACTTGGACACAAAAGACCCAGATTTTTCCCTTAGTTGGGCAAAAATTATAGGCGCTACAGCATCAGACCACAGTCCATGTGTAAAACTAGTGTCATCTTAAAAACAGAATGTCACGAGCCCTGCATGTAAAAGTTATCAAAATGAGGTGAATTCCCATGTGAAGTCTGAGGTGAGGAGATAGCCACCAGGAGGGCAGCAAAACAAAGAGTAGTTTGTGAAATGACTTGTGACCCTGCATTAGACAGGCTGGTCTCCTCATTAGCACCAGTATGGGAATGAACACAGAGCTGGGGTGATATCCCGACTGCATGTGCACCATACATCTCAGCTACAACATGGGCATCCAATGGGAGAAGGCAAAGGGGGGTGAGATCTAAAGTGTGCATTTATTCATCAAGTTGAAGTAAAATGACCACACCTAGGTAATCTTACATAGGCGGGTTTACTTTTCCCCCCAGTATTTTCACCTCATAAACAACAGCATTGAGTGACAGTCTTTCCAAACAATCTCCTCGTACCTGGAATATACAAACACACCCCATTTTATTCAGGGCCCATTTTAATAATACTTGCATTTCATACAGCACCTCATCACACTGAAATATCTCAAGATGAAACAGCGAGTTACTTCTTGCTTAAAAAAAGAAGTGCTGGCTAACCTGCATGGCATATGTGGCAGCAATGTCCCACTGACAGCAATGAGACAAATAACCAATGAATTTAGATAAGAGCGGAGTATTGGTCCAATAGAACCTTTCACATTTGCCTGAACTATCAGAACAGCTCTACTCCAGCATCTCATCTGCAGGAAGAAATTCTTTAAACAGCATGTTCCTGTGTAAGTAACCCCTAGATTTGTAGGACACAAAACCTTTCACAAAAAGTGCAGGTTAGGCACATTTCATGGTGTTTAAATAATGAATTAAACCTCCCATTGGTAAGGGTTTCTCCAAAATTGAAGAAAATTATCAGTTAATTTGGACATTGTGATATTACTGTACACTATTGAATGGGATATTGTGTTAACACTGCAGTTTCTACTGGATCAATAGTTTCAGCGTCTTTAAAAAAACATCTTGAATAGACCAAAAAATGATATTCCTTTTTAAACGCTATATCCATTTTGAGATGAAGCAATAGACTTTAGTGACCATCCTCGAGGATTCTTTTATTTGGGGGTAAACTTGTTTATCACTCCAAATTATTCACTGCTTATCTCTCACTTAAATTTCCCTTGCAGTAGTCAAGCAAAAAGCCACTCAAAAAAAAACTCGTCACCATTGAAAAACAGGAATAAGAGTAATGAAGGCCGCAGAGAAATGAAGAGACAAAGCTTTGTGTTGTTGCTGGTTTAAGACCTTTCGTCATTTAGAGAGAAATGTTCATGCACCACGATATTCAGGAGAAAATCCATAATTTTACCTTTGCATTCAGCTGTGAATTGTTCTCATAAGAGTTAGCACATCATTCCCACTGGATGAACTGCGATTTTTTTCACAAGGAGGTTTCTGAGAAATTGTGTACATGGACTGACTGACTGACTGACACACTACTTTACAACAGGAAAATCTACTCTCCTCAGATTCCTCCTTTACTCAAAGCCCGGGTAAAAGTGCGACAATCTGCTCTGAATGTTTCCACTTTTTTTTGCAATCTGATCATTTTGAAAGCTTTCAAACTAAAATGTACTGAAAATCTGACTGCCTTTATATTCCTTCACATCAAATACTCATTCTGGTTCATTGAGAAAAGCCTGTGAATACAGATAGGTGCTAGCGAGTGAAGCTTCTCCCCACCCCCATTAGTGTCATCTTAAAAAAGCTACGCTCATTAAAAGGGAATCTGCGTACAATGCAACAGTCTGGAGGCTCAAAGTACACAGGCTGTCAACACTGATTTGGATCAGTATTGTTACCTAGAGATTTAAGACAGGCACCAGAAACTCTCCAGTATTTGACCTATTAATGCTACAAAGCAACAAATGCATCTAAGTTTAAGAACACGCAAGCAGGATCCGGTGCCAATGGAGCTTTGGTTAAAACAGAAAGAATCTCACAAATCTCTCAGTTGTATTTGGCAAACGGCTGTCTTAAATTCACTTGTTCCAGTAGCTCCTCCGATTTTATTTAAAGCCGTGTGTTGGGCTCTGTGAACCATGTTTAGCTCAGCTTTTTTTAACGAATATTGTTTTACAGATGCCAAAAATGTACCAGAATACTTCATATCAAATACCAATACAAATTCCAATTCACTTTAAATAAATACACACCAATACCCGCATTGAAACATTCCAGTCAATTATTTTCAGTTTCTTCAGACATTACCATCATATTCCTGAGGGATCGCACTTAGTCAAAGGACCCTATTAGTTTGTCTTGCCGTTTGTGTTGCATAGAGAATCAGAACATATTCAACCCAAAGTTACTGACTTGGTCTGGTTTTGATGCTACTGTCATGGCGCTTTTTTAAAAAAATCTGACAGTTTTGAAAGCTTTTAAACTAAAATGTACTGAAATTGATGCCAAGGTTTACATGCTTCCAACCCCCACTGGGATTTTCCGATGTTTAACCAGCGTGGAAGACGAGGCACAAAGGGATGCATTCCAAATAGTCATTTCTATTTAACTTCAAGTCGATCGTTTGTAATAATTATGTCCAGTCGTCTTTCTCCTAATTTATACACACTGCATAAAGTTTGAAGCTTGGCCATGGTGCCTAAAGTCCACTTTGTACTACATTATCTGTCAGATATACATAGGAATCCCATTTATTTGCTGGATTTTTTTTAAAAATGCTGTTTTATTGTATTTCAATATCCCAAGCCCTCGGTTTTCCTTTTCAGTCTAACAGGGCCAGAAACTGGGGAATCCCACTAATAGGCATTATATCAGGTTCACAGTGGAAATTATATAGAATCCAACTTGCCTACAAAAGAGCCAGTTATATCTTTGTGGACTAGGTCAGATGAAAATTGGGAATCCAGTAGCAACTTGGTTGTATCTTTGTGGCATGTACTTAAATTGGATGGAGTTTACTTTCCAAAGAGATCAATCTCAGATAACTAACACCAGCCAGTTATTTGACACCCATTTGTTTACTTGACAAATATCAATGATCACACTGTTTCTGCTCATATACATTGTATTCTGGTACACTATATAAGAGAATTTCAATATTTAATATGTATCAAACCTTACAAAAAGGCCACATTCCTTATCTTTACTATTATGGCCTTGATTCAAGCTGATACGCAAACATCATCCAGGTGAACTTCCAGATACCACCTTTCAGACAATGTTTTTGCACCCTTCCCTATACTTAATACACTAGACCTTCAGAACACCATTGAAGTCTACAAGTCTGTGGGACATCCTGAGCTACCAGTCAATGGCAGGCTGACTCCCAAACAAACATGCAGTTACTGTCTAGGCACATTTTCACCTTAATCAACTTTCAAAACCTGTCAAAATGCAATTAAATGTATAAAACTGCTGCCGACGGGAACCAGTGACTAATTTAAAAAAGGTCCATAGCTAAATAGTTTGATGGACAGTTTGAACGATGGCATCGGGCAACAGAGCAGGTACTCATCATGAAAAATGAACACAAGGAAGGGGTAATGGGGAACTAGAGTTTAGGAATGTTGAAATTTTATGCCGTAAACTCGCGCTGTGGGCAGCACATGGGGGCAATAAGAGTCCAGGCGAACAACACAATACATATCCAGCAGGAGGCCATCTTAATCCAGAAGGTGGACCAGTTCCCACGAACAAAAAGCTTTTCCAATGCAGCGGTGTCATAGCTGTGAAAAAAAAACATGGGTGAATCGGGGGCCGTGCCTTCAGCCACTACGCTCCGAAACTCTGGAACTCTCTCCCTCAATCCCTCCACCTTGTTCCATCCCTCCACACTTTCAAATCCTGCCTAAAGACCTTCCTTTTTGATTGCGCTTAAACTGTCACATCCCCCCCTTCCTCTCTGGCTTGGGGTCAGACTCCAACATTGTCAAACGCTCTGGGATGCTACCCTGCATGAAGGGCGCTATATAAATGGAAGTTATTGTTATTTAAGGATTCTGAGGCACTATCTTCAGGGGAGTTAAACATGTATGTTATTTCTGTTTATCTGTAAAAAAAAATCCAAATAGCCTCTAAAGACTCTCATTATAAAGCGTTTTGCTTATTATTTATTAAAGCAAATTAAGAACATCAGAATTAGGAGCAGGAGTAGGCCATTCGGCCCCTCGTGCCTGCTCCGCCATTCGATAAGATCATGGCTGATCTTCAGACCTAACTCTAATTACCTGCCCTGTCCCCATATCCCCTAATCTCTCTATTTTTTAAAAATCTATCAGTCTCAGCCTTGAAAATGTTCCAAGGACTGAGCATCTACAGCCTTCTGGGGTAGTGAATTCCATAAATTCACTACCCTCTGAGTGAAGAAATGTTTCCTCAACTCTGTTCTAAAAGGCTGACCCTTAATTTTAAGACTGTGACCCCTGGTTATAGATTCTCCTACCAGGGGAAACAGACCCTCAGTGTCTACTTTATCAGCCCTTTAAGAATCTTATATGTTTCAATAAGATCTCCCCTAATTCTTCTGTACTCTAGAGAATACAGCCCTAGTTTATTCAGCCTATCCTCATAGGTCAGTCCCCTCATCCCAGGAACTAACCGAGTGAATCTACGCTGCACCCCCTCTAGGGCAAGTATGTCCTTTTTTAAATAAGGAGACCAAAACTGCACACAATACTCTAGGTGCGGTCTCACCAAGGCCCTATACAGTTGCAGCAAGACTTCCCTACTCTTGTACTCTAAACCTTTTGCAATGAATGCTAACATGCCGTTCGCCTTCTTAGTTGCTTGCTGCACCTGCAAACTAACTTTTTGAGACTGGTGTACAAGGACACCCAAATCCCTCTGAACACTAACACTATCTAATCTCTTTCCCCTCTAGAAAATAACCTGTTTTTCTATTTTTGCAACCTAGGTGAATAACTTCACACTTCCCCACATTAAATTCTATCTGCCACCTACTCGCCCACTCCCCAAGCCTATCTATATTCCGTTGCAATCTTTTTGCATCATCCTCAGAGCTTACTCTCCCACCTAGTTTAGTGTCATCCGCGAATTTAGATATGTTACATTCAGCGTCCTCGTCTAGATCATTGATGTAAATTGTAAATAGCTGAGGCCCAAGCACTGATCCTTGTGGCACTCCACTAGTCACATCCTGCCAATTCGAGAATGACCCTATTATCCCTACTCTCTGTTTTCTACCCGTTAGCTACCCTTCAATCCATGCTAATATGTTCCCATTAATCCCGTGGGCTTTAACCTTGTGCAATAGCCTTTTGTGTGGCACTTTGTCAAATGCCTTCTTAAAATCTAAATATACATCTACTGGTTCCCCCTTATCTAACCTGCTAGATACATCTTCAAAAAACTCTAAAAGATTAGTTAAGCATGACTTGACTCTGCCTAATTTTGTTATGGTCCTCCAGGAATCCGATAACGACATCCTTAATTAAGGACTCAAGAATTTTCCCTACCACTGATGTCAGACTAACTGGTCTATAGTTCCCCATCTTTTCTCTCCCACCCTTCTTAACTAGTGGTGTTACGTTTGCAATCTTCCAATCAATGGGAACCGTTCCAGAATCCAAAGAATTTTGGAAGATCAAAGACAAGCCATCCACTATCTCAGTAGTCACCTCTTTTAAAACCTTAGGATGTAGGCCATCAGGTCCAGGGGATTTATCAGTTTTAAGACCTGACAATTTACCTAATACCACATCTTTACTATTATTAATTTCCCCAAGTTGCTCGCTAACATTGTCTTCTTGGTTCCCCTCTATTCTTGGTAGGTTTTCAGTGTCTTCTAAGGTGAAGGCAGTAGCAAAGTACTTGTTTAATTACTCTGCCATGTCTTTGTCCCCTACTATAATTCCTTCCCTTCTCTGCCTCTAATGGACCCACATTTACCTTTGACAGCCTCTTCCTCATTATATATTTGTAAAAATGAATGCACACTCTCTCCCTTAAGGGATGCAACCTGCTTACTGAATCTGAGAGTTTAATAACAAAATCCTTCCATTTGAATATAGACCTTATTACGTCTTCGAGACGTCTCAAAGTGCTTCACAGAATATACTGTAAAGTGAATTAACTGTATATTTTGTGGATGAAATGATACAGATGTAGATTGGCAGTTCCGTCCACAAATGAGTACATGCAAGAACAGCTAATGGGGAAACTAACAAAAAGGAACCCACTGAAAGTATTTTTTTTACAGTACAAGTAATTTGTTGAACTGGAATTAAATTCTCCCTCACTTTGAGAAGTGTGTGCATTTTACTTACTTGAACCAGTTAGTTAAGGTCATCATCACATACAACGAGCCAAGGAAGAAGACAAAGTGGAAGAAAGCGTAGCTGTACACCACGCCTTGCTTTTCATTGTGAATCACTTTCTGAGTTCCCTTTTCATCTCCGTCCACTTCATAGTTACCTGACAAAGGCAACGGGAGAGGTCAGCGTGAAGGACAAATGTCACGGGAATTTACAAGTACCACACTGGCTAGGTGGTTTTGATACTTTGTGCATATGAATATTTCTGGTTCATTACTACAAGAGCTCATCTCTCCAACTCACAGGCCAGTGCTGCATGAGGAGTGAAATCTTTTAAAGGGAACTTTTTTTGTTAACTCAATATTATTAATATCCCAACATGTCCCACAAGGTTCTTATTCAAGTCCTCCAGATGTTTAATGACAGCGGGAAACAAAAAACAGAGATTTACCACCCGAACATCCTCAATATATTCATTACTAAAACCATACCCCACTCCTCCCGGTCAGCTACTAAATCTAATTCACTCAGTTCCTTTCTTTAAACAATGAAACAACATAAATACCATTCCAAAATCTCATAAATCTGGATTCATTACTACTGTAAAAATCCAAATAGCCTCTAAAGACTCCATCATAAAATGGTTCACCTGTTATTTATTAAAGCAAATTAATAATAATAATCGTTGCATTTGATATAGCGCTTTTCACGTCGGGAGGACGTCCCAAAGCGCTTCACAGAACACACTGTAAAGTGAATTGACTGTATATTTGTGGGCGAACGCGGCAGCCAATTGCGCACAGCAATGTCCCACAAACAGTCGTAGATTGAAAATGACCAATTTATTATTGTTTTTGGTTTTGGAGGGATTATTATTAGGCGTGTGGAGTAAGGAAACTTGCCCAAGGTTTCGCCCTCTGCCTGGAATTGAACTCAGGTCTCTCACTTGCAAAGCGAGTGCTCTAACCACTGAGCTACAGGACTCCACATAATGTCTGCACATAATCCCTAGCCACCAGGAAAATGGATATACTGGGTGCATACATACATCACACACAATGATAGAATAATTGAATACAATGAGTTACTGTTAATTGGGGGAACACAGAAGGGGAATTTTGTTTTCAAACCAACAATGGAAACTGTCCTCCTGGAGCGGAGGTGGGGGTGGGGATGGGGGTGGAGATAAGATATGAGGGTTTCCTTTGAGCTGACTCTCAATGGCAAGCGGTTTTAGCTGATTGAACTCAAGCAGTTCCCCAGTGCACACTCAGGGAGTGCCCAAGCCTTGTTTTGCACCAACCTGGGCCTAATATTCTTTAGAATTAGGTAAGCAGGGTTCGTCCTACCAGGGATTTCATTCCAGACAATGAGAAATTTTCATGCGTATGATGGTGTATCAGCTCTTAAGCACGGTGATAGATTTCCATAGTATGACACCCTGCTAACCAGAAAATTACAACTCACCTTCCTCATCTGGAGTGAAACAGAAGCAGCATCGAGCTTCCTGCAAAACAAAGAGTTCAATTCACAGTAGATCTATGGACACTGCAATTCCATTGAGATGCGCATGAACCATGATCGTGGATTGACAGAAAGCTATTGGCACTAAAATTTCTCTGTTTCAAAGCACCTAATCATAGATAATTGGGAGTTATAGGAATATAGGACACACAAAGAGGAGGCCATCCAATCCACCCAGCCTCTCGCCACCAAGTTTATTAGATTAGGCAGATCCCATTCCAAACACAACTATATTTCCATATGAAGGTGACATCCTAAGCAGAACCCTCTGGTTTGGATCCTCTTATGTATAGTGATGTGTTTCTGTATGCACATATGTACATGTCATGTACTGCTGGCCAAATAAATCTGCCTACTTTTGCTTCTATGGGGGGTGGGGGGGGGCGGGGCTGCTGGAATAATAATAATAATTCTTGCATTTAATGTAACGCCTTATCACGTCTTCGAGACATCTCAACGCGCTTCACAAAATATACTGGAAAGTATAGTGACTGTATATTTTGTGGGCAAAACACAGCAGCCAATTGTGCCCAGCTGTGCCCACAAACATTTGTGGATTGAGTGAACAGATTATTATTTATATATTTTTAAGGGATTATTAACTCCGGAAAAACAACCTGCAAATCAACTAACAACTAGGTTCCTACTTACTGCTAGGTAAACAGAGGCATGTGGAATAAGGAAATTTGACCAACGTTTTACCCTGCCCAAAAATAATCCAGGGAAATAAAGGTTTCCTGATGTGTAGGTCTTCAGGAAGAAAAGACAATCTTCCTGATTGTCAAGGAATTGACACCTACCAGCCTTAGGTGCAAGCCACAAACTATTATTACTTGCTTCAATTAACATATCTCACAACTCCATCTGTGGAGTGTTGTGTTGCGATACCTTGTGTGCTGTGGAGGGGGTGGGGGAGCAAGAAGAGATCTCAATCCCCCAGGGCCAAAGCTAACACGAATTGCTTGAGAGGCTGCAGGCTGACAGTCAGACTTCTCTATAATGTACCTTATCTTCATGTGTAGGAGAACTGCAAAACTTGACTTGCTGTGTGCCATGCATTCACACTATATTCTATAATAATCCTTGCATTTGATATAGTGCTTTTTCGCGTCTTCCAGACGTCTCAAAGCTCTTCATAAAATAGACTGTAAAGTGAAATGACCATATATTTGTGGGCGAAACATGGCAGCCAATTGCACACAGCAGTGTGCCACAAACAGCCATGGATTGAAAATGATCAATTTATTATTGTTTTGTTTTGGAGGAATTATTAGGCGTGTGGAGTAAGGAAACTTGCCCAAGGTTTCGCCCTGCCTGGAATTGAACTCATGTGTCTCGCTTGTAAGGCGAGTGCTCTAACCACTGAGCTACAGGACTCCACTGATGTACTTCACTTCAAGTGCTTCAAGATGCATCAGTACATGGACTGTATTCTCTCATACAGTCACCATTCTTTACAGAACTGGAGTCCAATCTTAACTTTGGATCCAGACTGAGAATTGTCATTTTAGTCTGTGTTAAAATGATTCATGTTTTATGACACAAGATCACAAGATCTTATATCATAAAAGACAAATGGGTGAAGGCCATTTGGTTCACCTTATCTCATTCTTTGAGAATACTCATGTTATTGTGCTCTCATCACAGCATTAAGCTGCTATTTAAACAGGATCTGGCAACCTATTCCAGTCATTAATTACCCTATGTGTAAAGAAAGACTTCTTATGTCTGTCCTGAAATTGTCCTTTGCAACTCTAAACCTATGTCATCTTGTTCTGCTGTCTTGATGCATCCTAAAATACTGTTCTAGGTTTACGTTTTCAATGCCATCTAAAATAAGTCACACCTCTATAAGGTCCCTTCTGTCGCCCCTTCTCTCAAGACTGAGAATGTGATAAACATCCTGTAGGCCCACAATGTGCATGACACAAGATAAATGTAAACAGACCACATCATTTATCTATATTCTGTACTTTCTGGTGGGGAGGAAAGAGAAAAACAAATTCATACTTCATAGATTTTAACTACGGGTTACGGTTGAGAGAAAAAATGTCACAATGGGTTAGAAACCATGGAAACCTGTCTCAACTCGTTCTCAACATCTGCACTGTAAAGCTATATTCTCTGAAATATCATCACCCTTTACAGAAAAACTTTGAAGCGCTTCAAGATGTATCAGTACAACAAGCCTAAATTAAATGCAAGATTATTATTTATCTTCACAGATATTAAAATTGGATTCAACCACTTACAGTGAAAGGAGACTAGGAATCCTGTATAAACAACATCACTATTTTATCTGGGCAAATGGAACTGGAACATAAAATATTTTACAGAACAATAAGTGCCATGTTTGTCTACAAATACAGTCATTACATTTTGCAGTAAAACATGAATGACATGATAAGGTGGTAGATCAAACATTAGTATTAGTTTATGTTGTTGAGGTAGAGAAGCAGGTTTGTCTAGGACACCCAAACTGCACACGAGATGGGAATTCTTAAAACCATGTTGAGTTACAGCACATTTCCCAGCACTGCTATCCATCACTTTGAGTTAGCACACCAGAGATTGAATACGTTGTTAAAATCATTGAAAGACTTTGTAGCGTATTAAAGTTCATGGAATGCGGGGACACTGGATGTGTTCAAAAAGCAGAGTACAGTAGGGTGGGTATTCTGGAAGGATGAGATAAAATAGACCAAACAGCTTTTCAATGTGTGATCTTCAGATTGCAGTGACAACACAGGAAGCAGCAGGTTAGAATCGATGACATGAAGCTCTGCTCTTCAGCTCATTAGGCACAAACTGGTCAGAGCACATTTAACTCTCAGCCTAACATTTCAGTTACATTTAAGGTGACTCAAGTAGCAGGATTTTTTTAATTAATAAAACAGCATCATTAAAAACATATCAGGCACCTCAGTGTGGGCAGACCTCAAGTATGTAAACTGTGGATTATGCAACTACAGTGTAAAGGCCACAACAGGAGTACCTTACTAGAATCTGGCACTAATGCTGACTTTGAGGGGGGTTTGCTCAGCATTCTCCTAAAGGCATTTGATTCATTTTCTCTTTCAGTCAAGTGCATTGCCAGACTCTGCTCCCTTGCCAGTAGTTTGCCCATTATTAACGCGCGGGTCTTGACTGGTTTCCTGGCTCATATTAACTACAGCGAGAACAGTAGCAAACCCAAGGTCTTTAAAATTATGAGGGGTTTTGATAGAGTCAATTGGAAGAAATTATTTTCATTGGTCGGTGAGTCAGTGACTAGAGGGCATCAATTTAAGTTAGTTAGTAAACGAGCAAATGGGGAGATTAAGAGAAGTGAACCATGGGCCAACAACAACAACAATTTGCAACTATATAGCTCCCTTCGTGCCGGTAGGGTCTCAAAGCACTTAATAGTTGTGGAGTTTGATGGCGAGCCAGGGAGAGTGGGGGAGGTGAAAGTAGGCCCAGTTGAAGAGGAAGGTCTTCAGTGAGGGAGCAAAACAGCTCTCAACAAAAACGGTTTAAATGCAAACCTTCAGGATCAATCTGCCTCGTAATTTTAAATCTAGCCGCTTCAGATTCAGAAAAGAGTTATTCCCACTCAGACCTCAGATAGTTACTCACCGTTGGTTTTACGATTGGGGTTCTGCTTACTCCCAGAGCTGCTGAGCTGGAGCGAGTTGTGGAGCTTAAACTGAAAACAAATTTAAAAATCTTAAAATAGTACAGTGATTTAAGTATCTTGTAGGAATCAGGCATCTTTTAATTTAACACAAAAATGCTAATATTTTGCCCCTCCTCCCCAACCCCCAGACCAACCCTGTCAGGTGTTTACCAGGTTACATCAGCTAAACAAACCCAATGTAAGAAATCACACCCCAATAGCCTGTAAGGTCATTTTTCTTATAATTTCAAAGATTGCACTGAACTGTGGAAAATTCTTAAATTTTATCTCTGCCCTGCAGAAAACCAGCTTCCAATTTAAGGCTGAATTGAAGAATTTTCTATAATCTCCGCAATATTTTTAAGACAAAATGGTGCTGCAAGCTAAGATCAGGTAGAATTTCAGGCCTGCATAGTACAAATGTTCTCCACAAGCCTAGGCATAACAGTGAAAGCTCACCACTATTCTTTGGGATTGTAATCAGTATCAGTTTCAACCAGGAAGAAACAAAGACAAGAAATAATGGCCTGAATAATAAGCTATCCTAAACACTGATAATAATAGGTTTAAATAGATTTACATAAACTGTACAGCACAGAAACAAGGCCTTTCAGCTTAACTAGTCTGTGCCAGTGCTTATACGCCCATTCGTTACTCATTCCTATACGTTTCTACTCCCCTCTCCCAAATGTGAATAAAGAGAGACTAGTTTGGTAAATTGTCCAGTAATGTACAGTCTATCCAAATCTATTTAAACATATTATTATTATCGGTGTTTAGGATAACTTACTATTCAGGCCACTATTTCTTATCTTTTTTTCTAGCTTCCTCTTAAATTCATCTATACTATCTGCTTCAACCACCACTTCAGGCAGCGAGTTCCACATGCTGGCTACTCTCTGCTTGAAGAAGTCATCCTTTTATTTGATTTAGCGCCTTATCACATTGTCGAAGTGTCTCAAAGTGCTTAACAGGGTTTTGATTTACTGTGAAGTGCAGTGACTGCATTTGTAGACAAACACGGCAGCCAACTTGCACACAATAAAATCCCTCAAACACGGATGATAGTAATCTATCTTTACCATCATAAGGCGAGGTTCCACCGTATGATTTTCTTAAACTAAAAATGCAACAAATTCCTGGCGTGCAAACATCTCCTTTTGTAACACTGATTACATATTTCCCTTCCTTGTTGTTCAGCTGATGTATTTTTAGAACTCTCCATCACAGCCCCACTATAAGTCATTAATCTGTCTGCAATTTGAGAGATTACAACCAGCTCCACTCTGCTTTCAAACTCTCCACTAATTAGTCATCTGTAAGAGAACAGCTCGATACAGACATAACTGTTCTCCTCTCAAAGTTGCTTGCTCTCTCTCCGCATGAAAGAGACCACAGTCAGTGCACTCTGACAGAATTTATTCTGGTGCTTGGCTCAAGGACCCAGCACTGCAAAAGGGCACAAACTTCTTAATGCTGCATTCAACCCAACTGCAGTTTAAACCGAACAGCAAGCTTTATTTTAAAAGAGTTATTTTCAGACTGTTAGTCTTCAGTTACTGCCGACAGGGTCTATTGGGTGATCAGCAACTGGGTGGAGTGGGGGAAGGAATGACACTGAACTCAAAAAGGTCTAAAATGCAGCTTTCAGTGCTTAAGAATGTGCCTTGCAGCATCATAAGTTAAAGTGCAACATGTCAGAATTGCTGGTACAAACAGTTGCAAACAGGAATGTTGTAAACGCCGGTCCATTCAAAACCATTGCTATATTTAACTGGCTGGTCCTCTCTCTACCCTTTTGATACCTGGAGGTGACATGCAAGTGACTACAGGCTGTGGCTATCAAAACTGGTCTCATAACCATATGCCTTGCTGGATAATCCTGGACATAGCGTCACCCTGGCTCAGTTGGTAGCTCTCACCTCAGAGTCGAAAATTTGTGGGTTCAAGCCCCACAGTGAGACTTTGAACTCACAGTCCAGGCTGACATTTCAACACAGTGCTGGAGGAGCACCGCATTGTTGGAGGTGCCGTCCTTTGGATGAGACATTAAACCAATGCTAAAGATCCCATGACCCAATTTGAGAAGAGATGGAAGTTCGCCCTGATGTGCTGGCCAACAATTCTCCAAATAAAATTGGTCAATCACCTCATGGCTGTTTATGGGACATTGCTATACGCACGTTGGCTGCTTTATGCATCTAATAATATACACAGTCTCTAACCTTTACAGTATAATCCTGCAAAGCATTTTGAGACATCCACATGACATGAAAGGGCTATATCAAATGCAAGGATGATTATTATTATTAATAACCCTAACTGAGCAAAAGTTGATAACATACCAGGCGTACAGAACACAGCCGTACATGATAATGGCTCCCAGCACAGAAACAAGCTTGTCATCCGTTTGAATACCCTTACCCAAGATCTGAGGAACGCATATTGTGGTATTGACTCCATCTCTCATAACTGAAGAGAAATTAAAAACAGATGGATTTCAAGGTTTTTTTTGAATCATAGTACAGTAATTCCATCATGGCTTTGAAACACTTTACTACGCAGCCCACTTTAAAAATTATTTATAATGTTTTGAGCAAAACTGCACACTCACTGTATTCTGCAGGTTTACTAGCCAGTGCAGAGTAGGTAAGATACATCACGTAACAGCTGATCACTCCTGACTGAAGGAGACCGGAGTTAGGTTTACCTGAGACAGGGAACAAATAGAGAATCCTTTGAAAGAATGGTAAGTAGACTACAAATATGGAATGTTCAGAGAAAACATGAACTAAGGTGACACTGCTTGGAAACCTTAACCCAACACTATAAATAGCACTCAAAAGCTTAGTTTACAGAGGTTTGTTTACCCAGCCGTTCATTTACCTCAGTTATAGGAAATCGACTGGCTGTAACTTTTTCTGGTAGCAGTGTCACTGGCTAACTGTTTACGCTTTCCTTGACCATTTTAAAAAAACTTGTTTGCTCTGCATTTAAACATGTTGATGCATTACATAAACAGGAATAAACTTAATCCAAGAAGTGCCGCAAAATTCAGTGAATTTTTATACACAGCAAGTTCAGAAACACCAGTGGGAAAATGAGTCATGTTGCTGTTACAGCGACGTAAATGACTCTGAGCAGATGTAATGAGTAATTACAAAATCATTTGTAACACTTTGTAGTAAAAGGTGTAAACATTGCACAAGTCTGTGTACACAGAATGCCAGAGAGCCATGGGATATGTGAAATAACTTTGCTTACTAGACTGGCAGTAACCCAGTCCAGACAGCCTCGTTTATGGAGAGGTCAATCACAGTCCTGTGGATCCATCACACATGCTCAGTGTCTTTTTTGGGGAATAAAAAACCTAAGTGAATTCATTTTACTGAAGGGAACGTCACTTAAAAAACTGTTCCCGAAAAGGGCCAAGATACATTAGCAATCGATGTCTCAATCTGAAGGTGGAGGGTTGCAGATGAAATGGAGTTACAGTTGGATTAGGAAGAGAAACAAAACCAAAGGGCTTTTGTTTCTACATCAGTGTACAGAGGATTAGCTTGCGCCATGGCAGGTCAGAATTAGGCATTCTGTCTCACGGATTGTAGGGATATAAGTGCTGACACAGAGGCATCATTTTAGCAAAGATTTGTAAGCTCTTGTTCAACAATGTAACAGGAAATTGTCCCCGTTCAATGGAGAGAGTGCTCATTTACCCTCACTGATCCATGTCTGACCGCTCGCCCCTCTTCCCTCTCCCCCCACATGACACCCCACCACGGACTGAATCTGCAGGTGCAAATAACTTGAATTCTTTCACTTGCACATGACCCAATTACACTCCCAACCGGATTGTTTTTTCTTCACACAGTACATTAGGTATTCGTTGCTTTTTCTGCCTTCAGGGAGAGGATCAAAGCACCATTTAGTAAGAGGAACTCTGAATTAGAACAGTCCCTCTTACTAAAAAAAATGTGTTACGATCCCCTCCACGGTCAGCAGAGCACCAACCAGCACCTTGTTAAGTCATTCTGTTATAAATCCTACGCTGCTAAATGGCTCCTGTATAATCCTCTGGTTTGTCGAAAAAAATTGGTGATCTTTTGAAACAAAACACAAATGAAAGGTGAGCCACTTTGACAAGGGTGGAAGGCAATAACAAAAGATCTCTCACAGCTAACAAATCTAATTGGGATTCTTCAGGGCAACGGGAGTTGAGAATCAGTGCTGTTAGGAGGAATGAACCCAATAACCTTTCCGAATGGCTGAAAGGCTGGTGTTTGTGACTCTGAACAAAGGGTTCTGAACTTGAGCATGTGCTTGGCAGCTGCCCTCAGTCTATACAGATTCTGCAACACAAGAGGATCCAGAACTGCAAGAGATGTCTGATAAATAGAGAAACAGGAGGTCTAAGCCATACATACACCTTCAGTGCAGACCAGTGGTAACCAACCTATAGACCACGGGCTGGAAGTGGCGGTTAACAAGTGCCCCACTCCCACCCGAACATTTGTACTGGTCTAGGTAAGTCCATGTTTGATCATTCAATGTATTTTAAGCGCCCCAGGACGCAACCCCGCATGAAGAGCGCTATATAATTGTAAGCTGTTGTTGTTTTCTTTTTTTCTTGATTTCCGGCATAAATCAAGATATAATCAATCAAGAAAATTGATTCTGTTACCCAACTAAAAAGGTTGGCCACTACTGGTGTGGGCTGTACATGAAGTCTGTGGATGGTGCTGGGCGAAGACAATAAGTTAAACAGAAAAGGCACAAACCTAAAAAATAAAGCAGATGAGAGTCACTCTAGCAGGTGTTGGTTATGAGTGCCAATCTATTGTCCTGGGAGCAATTGTCCACTCATCCTCCCCAATGAGAGACGTACATGACACAAGGAGTATTTGATTCATCTAATGTTAAAAGATGGCAAATCATCACTTCAAGTCAGAGACCTTTGCTAGATTAAAACTCTTTCAGTTCTCTACTTTTTTTTATATATGTGCTCAATTATTTTTTCTATCCTCCCCCCTCCCACCCCCATCTACACATGCACACCCACATCACATCTCTCTGTGCTTGGTCTGACTTGCTAGGGTGTAGTTCGATGGAAACTAGGTATCCTCCATTAACCGAAATAGGGACATTATAGACATAATTAAATCATCACAGAACAGTTTAGAAATCGCTATGTCTGGATTCATTATTTTGAACTTACGTTTCTGAACGCAGGGTGTAATAGCCAAGATGGAGACGATCAGACAAAGCCCACCATTGACACCCAAGACAATCTTGTTTAACATGCATCCATCAGGATCGGTGTAAAATATCCCCATTAGAATAAGAGCAAAAACAGCCACCGAATACAGGCTGAGAGTAACCAGGGCCAAGGCAGCAAACCAGCATTTATTCTGTCCCGTTCCAGCCCACCTAGTTACAAGACAAAGCAGATGATCAGTGAACCATTCGAGTACCACAAGCCTGTATATTACAGTATAACATACATCCGACATGTAATACCTAGCATATGATCAAGTGTCAAGGTGCACAAACGGGTACATAACAGTCCAAATCAAGCAAGTAAGTAAGTGTGTGTCATTTCGATTAAAACATTTGCAATTGTGTACAAAGCCGCTGTTTGCATTGAGAAGCAAAAACCTTGAAAACTGCTCAAATCTGAGCACAAAGTCTTTTCTTCCACAAATACACACACAGAATGTAGAAATGCCTCATCAAAAATGGCTATTGAACCAAAGTCCATAAAAGGGAAATTTACAAAAACTGCACTGAGGAAAAATAATATTTGGGTTCAGGAAGGAGCAGAGGAATGGGATTTAATCATAATAATCCTTACATCTCTAACTTTCTGCAGTTGAACGTCAACAAGACCGAGGCTCTCCTGATTGGCTCCCGTCAGCGCCTCCACACTTCAGGCACTGGCAGCATCGCCATCCATGGCTGCACACTGCACCTTCCTAAGCCAGTCCAGAACCTTGGTGTCTTGTTTGACTATCAACTGTCCTTTCTCCCCCACATCCGTGCCATGACCAGCTCTGCTTTCCCCCACCTCCGCAACATTGCCTGGCTCCGCCACTGTCTCACCCCTCAGGCCGCTGAAACTCTCAATCAGACGTTCATCACATCTAGGCTTGACAACGCCAACTCTATTCTTGTCGCCCTCCCTAACTCTTCCCTCCACAAACTGAGGATCATCCAGAACTCTGCAGCTCATGTCCTCTCCCGCACCAGGCTCTGTGACCCCATCACCTTCCACCCTCGCCTGGCTCCCCATCCACCAGAGGATAGAGTTCAAAATCCTCGTCCTCATCTTCAAGACCCTCTATGGCTTTGCCCCCTCCTACCTCAATGACCTGCTAACCCCATATCAACTTGTCCGCTCCCTCCACTCAGCAGGCTCCAGCCTGCTCCATGTCCCCTGGCTGGCCCGCGGTTGGGCCTTCAGCGTCTCTACCCCCACCCTTTGGAACTCCATCCCACAGTCCCTTCGCCTCGCTCCCTCCCTTGCCTCCTTCACGGCACGTCTCAAGACCCTCCTCTTCGACCGTGCCTTCGGCCACCCTCCCTGCCCTCCACCCTCCCTTACCCCATTTCCCCCACCCCTGCTTGGGTCCAAATCCCTGACATCCTACCGACGTGAAAGGCATCTTACAAATATAATTTTGTGTTGTATTGTATTTGGTATAGTCTTTCACATAGGGAGACCGCCTAGTGTGCTTCAGAGATACACTCTACAGTGCAGAGACTATTTGTTTGTGAGCAAAACACGATAACCAATTTTCACACAGGAATGTCTCACAAACAACCATCTTTAACAAAATCCAGTTAATTCAAAACTCCGCCACCCTTATCCTTACCCACACCAAACTCTGAACCCAATCACCCCAGTTCTTGTCAGACTCCACTGGTTCTCTATCACAGAATGGATTGATTTAAAAATCCTCACACTTGTTTACAAATCACTTCATGCCCTGGAACCTGCCTACTTCTCTGACCTGGTTACACCTCATTCCACTGCCCACCGCCCTCCTGCACATCCCTTTTCCTTTCCGCTTTGACAAAGGATGTGCAGCCACTACACCCCGAAGCTATGGAACTCTTTTCTTCAATCCCTCCACCTTGCCTCCTCCTTCCCCATCTTCAGATCACAACTGAAGACCTTTTCGACCTTGCCTATGATCACCCCCCTCTTCTCCCTGGCTCAGCGTCAAGCTCCGTCAATGTTAAGCATTCCGAGACACTACCATGAGTGAAGATCGCTATATAAATGCACGTAGTCGTTGTTGTTGACTAACTTACCAATTTTTGTTCCATTTGTGTGCAAATTCCACCAGCAAAATGAGCTGAATGATTATGAAGAGGAACGCTCCACCAGCACCAATGTACAGCCATGCTGTGCTCAACAAAAGAAAACAAATCATTAGCATACAGCACATGATTGGAAGCTGCAGTTTGTGGATCAAAATACAGTTTTCTCTTTACTGAACAGGTTACATTATCTAAGATTTAAGAAGAGCAAGACGCTATCCTGTTTAAAGAGCTATATATAATTGCAAATTGTTGTTGTTGTCTTTCGTTAAAACAAAATCAGAGAATCCAGATAAAATTGGAATCCTCCAACCTGATGGTTGTGTCATAGCTTGGCTCCATTCTTTGCTTCGTTGTGGAAGGAAAAACAAATTCAAGCCAGAAGCTAGTTAAACTATTTTGACACAGATCAACCTCCAAATCCACGGTTCTCCATAACCATCCAATGCATTCATTTTAAACACAACACAAAAAAAGAAAGCAATCAACCACAGATGAAAAACAGAAAGGGCTTTGAGTCCTGAATTTAAGATAAGTGTGAACAGTGAATAAGTTTAATGTCGTCAGGAAACATGAACATTATTGGTCCTAATGCACGATTTGGAAATGCATTTCACTTGAAGCTCCATTCCCAATCTTGTTCTTTTTCTCTGAATTTCATATAAATGTATTCTTCAACCAAACTTTTGATGAAAGGTTCAGTGGGAGGCTAAGCAGTGACGACAGCAAATTATCTGACCAAACAGGATAAGCTTAAATTTCTCCTCATTATACACACACATACATTCCCAGGGCTCACTAGACAAAGGGGGAATTTTAGCTGATCTCAGTCAGGGTAACACTGGTGGAAGTAATTTAGTACAGATCTGAAACCTTCCTCATCTGTACAACTCAATTCAATAGTGGGCCATGTGATTTATGAAAATGTTATAGCAGTACATGGAAAGCATTTCACCTGCATCAATGCTACAATGGGGCAAGTTGAACTGTACAAAATCTGAGCATAGTTTTAGCTAGTTTCTGACTTTGATTTGTTTAATGATAGAACAAAAAATGTAACTGAGCCACATCCCCACCATCAAATTGGATGATACAACAGCAAACAATATTTTATTGCTTTGACACTACAATGGTACAGGAAAGACTAATTAAGCGCCTTCTATCAACCCATTCCTAGATGTTAAAACTCTTTGGCTCATACCATACTACCTTACATTTACAGGGGGTTAATAGAAGCATTCCCAAAATGAAAGCAAATACCTTCCCTTTACTAGCGAAATTATAGAACACAGCATTATCCAAGCCAATTGTGCGATTTATTCACAAATAGTATCAATTTACATAGACACAAACCTCCATTCGTTCAATAACAATCAGAAAATCTTCCATCACTTTCACTCGCTCAAGACATCCTTGATTTAAAAAAATGAATACACAATAAAGAGAGTACAGTTCACTAATAATGCCAAGCTTAGAAACCTCCCCCACTGCAGTTTTGAGAACACTACCAAAAAGCTGCAACAGGCTTCATGCCATTGCTACCCTGAATAGTTAATAGTTAACATAGTTAACCAAAGCAGTTCTAAAATACTGCACCGGGCACCTGCTCCTGTAAATACCATTAAAAAGGGTTGAATTACAGCTTTAAAAATACCTGTGTATACCTGTGAAAAAGTGTTGTGCTGAAAGTACAGTGATATTTATACTGCCAAGACATAGACCTCTAAGCATATTGATATACCTTAAATAGGAGGGACAAAGTTTAATCTTAGAGTCTTAACTATTCAACCCAAGGCTCAAAAACTATAACCACAGCAAGCTGGTCACTCAAAATTCCCTGGCTTACCATTATTCCAGACAACAACAACGGCAACTGACTTTTGTATAGAGCCTTTATGTCAGGAGGACGTCTCAAACCATTTCACACAACTAACTGGTCACCCGAGCTGGGAAGGAGGGAGCTGAGGAGGGTGGGGAAAAAAGGTGCCCAAAGCGCGGTTGAAAAGATTGATCTTAAATGAACTTAAAAGGTGACATTTTAAAGAACGGCATTCAGAGACTATCACATAGACGAGCATCACAAGCCCAGAACATGTTGCAAAATGAGGCGCATTTGGAACAATTAGGAAGATTTTCTGATGCGTTTTAAAACAATTTTAATAGTACATCTCGAAATTCAAATTCTTCAAAAGGCACGCAAAGCAGTAACATGAAAAAAAATAGCAATTATTTTCTTAAAACACAGCATTCACAGATACCAACAGGATTCCCATTGTTGTCAACAGGTTTATTGCTTAATAGGCTTGCCACATGAACATCCAGATACAAAACACTTACTGTCCTTCAGAATGAATGGACTGGCAAGTGCAAGCACAGCTGACATACACAGAGAGAGAGAGAGAGAGAGAGAGAGAGAGAGAGCACAGCTCCAAGAGACTCCGTAAGTGGTGGACACTGCCCAAAGCTGTTCGCTTTATGCTTTTGTTGCTTCAAGTGCTTTCCATTCATTTGGAAAGCTTAACTATTATTATTCCAGAACGTTTTAATTTTTTGCTAGCGTGCAGAACAACTATTCCAAATTGACTTGGGTCAGCTTTACTTTTAAAACCTTTAAAATAATATATCATTTAAAATAATATATCATTCTTCACAATTTTAAAACCCCGTTGAAGGCAAGAGGGAATCTCCGTGTGGGGGCAAAGTTGGAAGCCAGCCTGTCAAGTTTCTTTAATATTATTTAGCTCGCTTCCACTGAACAGCACTATATCCACAGTGCTCCTCACTCTCTGCTTACAGTTCACTCATTGTTCTCAAAATCTCTTCCAACTTGGAATCCAGAAGAAGGAGGGAATGGTTTATCTGGAGCTATGAAACACTTGATTCTGTACAGAACACAACACTGGCCTTCAACCACTTGCACTGAATGGTTGCATTGAATGTTGTTGCTGAGTGCAGATTTAACCTTTTACTGCTACAAAACAAATCAATTTTTCCAATGAATAAAATGAACCATTTACTAATTGAAACGTGATGACCTTTGGAGTACTGAAAGGGTTTCTTCTGCGTTGAACATACAAATATCTCCAGCTGCACTACTACAAAGCCAAAGTAGGGAATGGTACCAGAGAGCATTAACTTAATGCACTAATTGAAAACTAGCCCACAGTGAACTGTGCAACCTTCTAAAAAAAAGAAAAAATGATGCAAAAATAATAACAAATCCCCAAAAGATTTAGTTGTTAAATAGAATACAATGGCAGCCTTACCCCTGTGAAAGGTGTCCTGGTCAGGTATGAAGAAAGCTCCTGCACACATGGCTGTCAATACTACAAACTTCACAAACCAGAACCTGCAAAAACAAGACAGATGTCTTCAAAAGGCTCTGTCTATCCATTTCCTTTTGTCTTCTTCACAATAACAGTATCAATGTCGTCTACATCACTTTCTGTGTTGGCTAATTACATTTCTTTCGTTGAACCTGTAGCTCAGTGAGAATCCTATTTGTTATGCTTGGAGGGATATCCATCGTCCCTTCAAGCAACACACTTACCCATTGTGGATGTAAGCACGGCAGTTTTTGCTGGTTTTCACATTGAGCATCAGGAGAAAGAAGATGAAGAAGAAACAGGCCATTCCAAAGCAGACTTTGTAAACAGCGGCATATCCAACCAGCCTTTCACAGTCAACTCCAGCCTGGATCGTTTTACAGAAATCGCTGTAGAAGGGGATCTGATGTGGAAGAGGGAAGATTAATACAGTCCGATTTCTATCACTGTCTCATCTTTTCACCTACATCTAGTGTTCTCTGGTTTTGTAGGGCTGATAATAATAATAATCCTTGCATTTGATATAGCGCCTTATCACGTCTTCGAGCTGTCTATTGGCAGCCAATTGCACAATATGACCCAAATCCTGGATAACTTGGCACTCCACACTGTTTTTGCCAGTCAGCTGAAATGACAATAACTGACCAGCAGAAAGTAAAAGGAAATTGAGAGTTGAATCAGGTCATATTGGGCTTGTTGTAAATATTATACTGAATACGTTCACGGATCAATAAAGCATTACTCTGATAATGGATTACCTTGTCAGTATAGTTAAAATTAACATATTAAATTTGCTGGGTGTTATCCCCTCCCACTCACCCACCCTCCTCCACCAGAGCAAGTCTCAGTGACCTGGCCTCCTGGATGTTATCACTGAAAACAGGGGAGGGTTAAGCTATCTCCAGTTCTTTCGATATAATAAACATCAAATGTACTACTGAAATGGACCTCATTATTAGAGGTATTTCTAACTGTTTCAAAAGGCTCTGGCTCTCCATTTCCTTTGTCTTCTTCACAATAAGAGTATCTCTATCATCTGCATCACTTTCTTTGCTGGCTGATTAAATTTCTGACATGAAGCTGCAGTTCAGTGTGAATATAATACAACCCAACACACAATAATAGTGTGGGCCTTTATCCCTTGTCTCCCAGGCAGGAATCCTCAAGTTGCACTGATTTATTTCAAATTCTGAACATTAGTTGAGATGGAGGTACATGTTTAAAATGCAAACCTTCATTTCACTAGTTAGCTTTATTTATTTGCCATTTTTTGAATTAAACACACACGGAAAGACCCAAAGAGGGACACAGGGCAACAAAACATTGTCCTGAAGTTGAGAGTCTGCCAGAGGCTGGGTGTGGGTGGAGACAGCGTGAGTCAGAGCAATGTCTGTGTTGCCTGTGCACTGTGGAAGCTGCTCATAAACAGAGTACTTGAATAATAATAATCCTTGCATTTGATATAGCGCTCTTCACGTCGGGAGGACGTCCCAAAGCGCTTCACAGAACACACTGTAAAGTGAATTGACTGTATATTTGTGGGCGAACGCGGCAGCCAATTGCGCACAGCAATGTCCCACAAACAGTCGTAGATTGAAAATGACCAATTTTTTATTATTGTTTTTGGTTTTGGAGGGATTATTATTAGGCGTGTGGAGTAAGGAAACTTGCCCAAGGTTTGGCCCTGCCTGGAATTGAACTCAGGTTTCTCACTTGACCTTGCATTTGATACAGCGCCTTTCAAGTCAAGAGGACATCTCAAAGCGCTAACATGATTTATTGCACAGTTTAGTGACTGTGTATAGGATTCACTGTAAAGTGTAGTGACTATGTATTTTGTAGATGAAAGGGTTACTCACGTGTTCTTTCAACCCTTCGGCCACAGTAGGTGATAGCATGAGGCAGCAGACAATGGTCCCTAGGATGTGGTAGAGGGCGTACATCACCCTGGTCCCTGTAGAGGTTTTGATCATTGGGCAGCAGCTACAGCATAGCGAACAAGAAGCAGATCCACAGCAACAGGCCAGCTGATGGAAGAAAACAACATCGGAATGTACCAAAATACCCATAAAAACACATCCCATAATTTTTGTTCAATAAAACACCATTAAGCCCATTTCAAACTGATCCTCATGTGGAACACAAGAATCATTTTCAACACTAAAAGATTACTTCTCGTGACCTGAGGTCTAATGATAAGCTACGCGGTTTTAGCTGGTTAAACTCAAGCATTGCCCCAATGCAAACTCTGGGGTCCCCAAATCCTTTGCCAATCTGCACCTCATACTCTCCTGATTTAGGTAAGCTTGCCTCCAAGGAGAGAGTTCATATTGCATTTGACTTAAGAGAAAATTTCCATGTGTTGGTGGGATAAATATGTGGAACTCTCAATCTGGTTTAAATACTCTTAAGCATGGGTTTAACTGAGGAAACACACCAATGGCTTTTTTTTGATGGCGGGAGGGAAGGATGAGTAGAAAGATTATCACATGAAGTAAATGGCAAAAAACAGGAGCTTAACACACTACTACTGCTACTAATAATAATAATCATCACCGCCATCCTGGCAAGTGCCTTATTACGTTGTCGAGATGTCTCAAAATGTTTCACAGAATATACAATAAGAACACAAGAATTCCTAAACAAAAGAAGACCAAGGTCCATCCAGTTCGCATTCCACCATCCTGGCAGTTGCATTCACATTCATGTCCCAAGCTATATATTGTATCCCAAGATATTATTTCCTAAAAGAAACCTATCTAATTTGCTTTTGACAGAATCAACACTTTCTGCTTCCACCATCTCCCAAGGGAGCCTCTTCCATGCATTTACTGCAAAGTGGGTTGATTGTGTATTTTGTGCTTTTGTACATAACAAATTTAGTAAACAGAATTGCTTGGCATTTCAAATTTGAAATTTTAAAGTTATTTGTTGATGAGAACTTGAACGTGGGAGTAGATGACATAACAGGAACAGACTGTCCTCGCACTCCAATCTGAATTCTGCACTGATAAGCTCCCCGATCTCAGATGTAGGGTGAACTCAATGCCAGCAGCTGGGAGGATGTGGGGAAATAATAGATTTTGCTCTACAGCTGAGGTTAAAAATCAGGAACCTGGGTCTAGAAACAGGCCACCATAACTGTAGGCATTCACTAGCAAATATACAGTCACATTTTACAGTACATCCTGTGAAAACCTTTGAGACGTCTTGACGACATGATAAGATGCTGTATAAAATAAAAGGATTATTACTATCATATATTACTTACATACAATAATATTATTATCAACTAATCTGACTGTCACTTGGCTGCTAGTTCCAACGTATCACACCAACAATACGTTGGTGTGATACGTTGTGGAGACATATGTGGAGACCTGTAGCTCAGTGGTTAGAGCACTCGCTTTGCAAGCGAGAGACCTGAGTTCAATTCCAGGCAGAGGGCGAAACCTTGGGCAAGTTTCCTTACTCCACACGCCTAATAATAATCCCTCCAAAACCAAAAACAATAATAAATTGGTCATTTTCAATCTACGACTGTTTGTGGGACACTGCTGTGCGCAATTGGCTGCCGCGTTCGCCCACAAATATACAGTCAATTCACTTTACAGAGTGTTCTGTGAAGCGCTTTGGGACGTCCTCCCGACGTGAAAAGCGCTATATCAAATGCAAGGATTATTATTATTATTATTATTATTATTAACAAAAACACATAACCTTGTGTTTATCAGTTGAGGGAAGTTAGTGCTGAAAAAGTGAATACTCCCCCCCCCCACCCACTTTTCTGGAATTCAACATCAAATACTCCAAAACTAAGTACACCAAGTTTCCACTCTGTCTGAATATACTTTCACATGATCCTGAAAAGCGCTCCGAATGCACAAACATATAAAGTACTTAAGGCTGGGTGTGGTTGGAGACAGAGAAACCAGAACAATCTCAGTGCTGCGGAAGGATTCCAAGCTGCTCATAAACAGAGTGCAAGAATACTTGCATTTAACACAGCAGGAAGCGCATCTCAAAACCCTCAGTGGAATCTGCCCTAAAGTGCAGTGACTTTTCAAATTATGTTCTCAATATTTTACTTGAATCAAATCGTCCCAGGCAATGTTCCCCGTCCCCTATTTCTCCAAATCTTACTATAAGGAGATTATTATTTTGTAGTAAAATCCTTCTATTTGATATAGTAATTTCTATTTCAGGAGGACATCTCAAAGCACGTCACGATATACTGAAGTGTAGAGAAAGTGTATTTTGTAGGCAAATCCAGCAGTCAATTTGCACACAGCCATGTGCCAAAACAGCCATGAAGCAAGGGGTCGATTCTGGTGAGGGAGTTTGTTGGCCGACAACAACAACAAATAGCGCCTTTCACGTTGGGTCGTCAATTGGAAAATGTTCAAGACAAAAGTGACAGTTCCCATAGAGAACTGGAATACTGAGGTCATATGTCATCCGAGCAAGCCCCTGTGAACAGATATCGAGCACTAGCGGGCTATTTAATTGTAGGATCGGCATCACAACCAAGCCTCTGCTGGTCCTCATGCAACGCTGTACTTTAAAATTGACGATCACTCGATAGCAATAATAAAGGGGAGCCTTGGCTCAATTTCCCCACTCCCTAGACTTGGGACATTGAGATCAATTGGTAAAATGTAATGTTGCCATCCTTGGGAGTTCTGCTTGGTTAACTCAGTGCATACTGTGAATCAAGTGTGCAACATTTCAAGTCTATATTTCTCAATAATCATCTGCACAGAAGCCTTCAGATCATGATTTGCTTTTATAACACTTTCACCTACTTCACCCTGTGGCACTTACCCCACATGGAACAGAATAAAACAATTGTTTTATTTTGAAAAGGTCTGTTTGGGACATGTGTTAGGGAGTAGCTGGTACAGAGTTCAAGGCTGTCATTCAGAGTCAGGTTTCTGCTGGCATCAGCAAAACTGTTCAACTAAACTACTGTACAGCCTTGAAACTTTTAACTACAAGACGCACCTAACATATTGTACAAACACACACATTAACAGAAGGCAAGGTTTAGTATACATTGGAGTAATAAAATGTCCCCTGTCCGAATGGCGTAGTGGGAATCAGCTAATACCATTCTATAATTGGATAATATAAAGTGTGAAGAGTCAAAAGCTGATGCCTGAGGGAATTCACAATCTCTATGTGTATGTGAAGGGAGGCAGGTGGTGTGGAAGAAGTTGGATCCAAAGTGTAAGTATCCCATGCGAGGAATCCCAGGTGCAGATACACATTGAATTCAAATTTAAGCAAGTCTGTGGAGGAAGTTAACAGCAAAGGAATTTCACAACAACATCATGCAGCCTTAAAAGCAATGACTTGACTTTTACTGCAATCCTAATCTTTGCTTTATTCCTTATCACTGTCTGTATACATTTGAAACTATCTGTGGTTTTATAGAAAGGTTTAACAACTCCAACTTGCATTTATATAGTGCTTGTCTTCTTATAAAGCACTAGCAGGCTATTTAATTGCAGGAACGGCATCACAGTCAAGCCTGTTCTGGTCCCAAATGCTGCTCTGTCTGAAGGGTGCTATATAAATGCAAGTACAGTAGTTGTTGTTCAAGTTGGAAACATCTTGGAGCGTGTTACAAAGACAGGGATGGATGCCGAGCAGAGAAGAGGAGACTGCAGGGGGAGGGGGGTGACAACAAGCTCAGTTGAAGAGGTAGATGTTACTACAGTACTTAAAGACAGATCATTCTTGCATTTTGCTATAACCCTTACACATCGGGAGGTCGTCCTCAGTGCTTCACAGGATTTACTATGAAGTGGAGTAAGTGTGGATTTATAGATAAAGAAGGGGTGGGGTAGAGGATGGAGAGGTAAAGAGAAGGGATTCCAGAGGTACACATAGTGCTCTGAGACACTCTCCTGCGTGAAGGACACTATATAAATGCGACTTGTTTTTCTAAATCATAAGGGGTGCACAATGACACGGCAGCTTTCAGAGACAGTGACCGGCAGTTCCACATGGAAGAGAGGAACAGGAAGAGCACCTCCTCATAACAGCAGAGACACAGGAACCCAGCAAAAAGCACAGTTTGTTCTGTTGTGGAAGCTTTGCGGTACTAGGAACAAATAAAAATCATACACTATTTCCCTTCAGTGTGGCAATGTTTGGAAAATAGCGCTGGTTGAAGTCCCACTTTAGAATGAACCCAAATCGCAAACAATTTTCTAAAACCCCAAACACATGCATTTATCGTGCGTTTCACATAAGATTATTATTGAGGATGGTATGTATTTTGATGTTATGGCTACTTCCATTAACATCTGCCCCATAAGCTATGCATTGACACAAAATGTTTATTTTGTTGTCCTTTTTTTCCCATGAAAGCAATACGCTTTCCTGTGGAAAATCTTACTATATACTTGTCTAAGCATCCGGGCCTGTTGGGTGTTAGCCTGACTCAGTTTTATGATTATTTATACAAACAAATATCTGGGGCCAGTTGGAATTCCAGACACAAGTTTCTGCAGGGATGTGCATGGTGTGAATGACAGCTGACTGGGAACGCACCCGACACCCAATTTACAGCAGACTAAGCAAACACACCCCTCTGGTATGAAACATGAGCATCTCACACGTGGCTGAAGGGTAATTCACGCTCAGGGTGGGTGTATCTCACTTTGTACTTTCCCACGAGCCAAGTGCTGATGCCCCACACCCAGAGGTGGGAGTTGTTCTTTGCAATTGCTTCTGGGCAACTCTGTCTCAGCGTATGGCAAAGGTAAACTCCCACCCCAAATTCCTTGGGACCTGCATCTCACATCACGCACAAGATGTGCAATTTAAGTGTCACTGCGCACAGCAATGTACTAAATGTTTCATATGTCAGGATTCCAAAAGATTTTTTTTTCCAGATTCTGGAATTCAACACAAATGTTCCAGCTTCTGGAGAGTTTAAAACTACTTGCTCCACCATTAAAAAAAACATACTTTGTCCAAGTTTGCTCCAAAATTTAGCACATTAAAGGGCCAAAAG